GATAGCTTGACCAACGGAGGACTCCGGCTCCTCACGCCTCTCTACATACTTGCTGTAGATGGATTGGCCAACAGAGGACTCGGGCTCCTCACCCTTCTCCACGTACTTGCTGTAGATGGCTTGACCAACAGAAGACTCATCTGTTAACGGCCTTATTAGCAACGGAACCCACGAGGCCACAATTGAGGAAAGGTGCGAAGGGCAAGAGGTACCTTCAACTGGCGCCGCCAAGCCAAGGTTGGTAGTAAAAGCAATAGCGAGAACTAAAAGCTTGCAATGCATCTTGTCAGAGTAATCAATAACTTGAACTATGAGTGGAAGGTTTGAGAAAATGAGGAAGCTTGAATGTTTGAAAGAAACGAGAGCAACTGTCTTGCATGCTGGCTTTATGGAAGTTCTGAACTCGGGATTCTTGCCGTTTGAACTCGTCATCGGCTCTCCTAGCTTGTAAGCATTGTGGTAAAGTTGTAGTCAATCTGTAATGATAAGGAAGAAAGCATACGTCGATGCTACTCCGTCTCCACCAAACATTTGCATTGTGAGGCTAAACACACCATCATGGTGACACAAAGTACCACTGATCAGCGGGGAGAATAAACACTACTGCAGCATCTCCAAGCAACTAGAGCTGCGTGATAAGGTGAGTGACACTATACTATCAGACCACAGCGCGAATCACAAGCCAAACATCTCAAGGCGTGATGCTGTCACGCCAACCGCCTCTCATCTACCTGTAGGAAACCGAGCCACATATGGCGGTAAAATAAGCACTAAGGCACGATATCACCGCCGAGGGACTACTCAGGGGTGTTATATGCACCAGTCCCTGGGGTATTCGTGATCACTTTGCGACTTCATGGTTACATTGCTACATCTCGGTATCGCTGTATTGACCGAGTATTTGGCTAGCCGCGCCTTTACGATAGCGGACGAGAGATAGTAAGATTACTTTCGACTGGGAAACCGTTTACATCTGCAGCAGACCGTGGAATAGAATGCCAAAAGTACAGTCACTGCCGGGCATTCTTCGTGCGACAAACGAGCCATTAGGATATCTCGGGCCCTCTAACCCCGCTCGACTGTAGACTTTCTGGACTCTCCTCCTTCTCCCCCTGACTTATTTTCCGTGACATCTCTTCTCCTTAGATATACCGTCCAGGAAAGCTGAATTCAACATGCACCATATACGAGAAGCTAACAATACAGATTTGCCATATCTGAAGCAGGGAGATCGAGAAGACTTAGTTACGATCGGGGCATCTGAACAAGATGGCTTTCTTTCAGAGGCAGAAACAGCACTGAGGCTGTCTCACTCGTCTTCGAGACAACCATATCTGCTATGGCTGAAATATCCTCTCCTTGTTACGGTATGGGTGATCTCGTTAGCTGTTACTAGTTATATCTCGAGGCAGAGCAGTTACGCTTACAATGGACTGGGGAGAGTTTTGGATACTGAATTGAGTAAGTAAAGCCACCCACAGGTTAGGCTCGAGGCTCACCTCTTGCCTAGCGTCTGTACAACCGGCAATTGAAACTCAGCGTGTTCGGTTCGAGGGCACTCTCGATTTCGACGAAAATAGTACACTCATTCAGACATTCTGGGACCTGGATTCTCCCCGGTATACCGGTGAACCAAGTGACGAGCTAGATGCCCGTTGGAAGAGCTTGTACAAGGGTAAGCCGGCATCAAGAACTCTGAAGCCTCAACTTAAGGGTTCTCATGTTAACTTGGGCAACAGTCGATGGTGTAGACCTCCATGGCGTTGAAGCGGATGCAATTCGGGGAAAGACCTTTGAGAAACCCGGAGGATGGTCGATTGTTAGTTTGGATGTTTTTCATCAGGTACATTGCCTGGTGAGGCCCCATACTTCTGTCAACTTCAACTCCTGGAACAGCTTGCTAATCGGACACTTTGCCATAGAACATGGTTCGCCAAGCATTGCGCCCTGACTACTACACGCGACACGATCCAGAGCCTGCCTACACGGTACATATTAGTAAGTTGATCCGTACCAAGACACCCGGCGAGATTCCGGACGCGGCTAACTACTATTTTGCCTCGGTCCCAGATCATTGTCTGGATCATTTGCGGCAAGCGGTGATGTGCCATTCGGATGTCACGCCGCTCCCCGTCCTCTGGGCCGAGAAAGAGGACCATCTCTTCGAGGAGGAAGCCTTCTTGGAGAACCTTACCTCGAACGATCCGAGCCCGGGCAACCTCCACCCGGCCCTGGATTATCTCGACACTCATTTTCGCCTCGCTCAGCGGCATCCTACTTACTATAATCCTACGGTTGAGCTTCGCCCAACCACCGGTCTGTAAGTCATGGCGGCATACAGACCTCGGTAAGGCTTCCGTTACTTTGTCCCGCGTTGCGACCGGGAGAACTTCCATTCTTTCCAAGAAGAACCGACCCAAACTCATAATAGCCAAACAATCATAGAGCCGGCTCGAAAATACATCCAAGAGCATGAGCGCCGCTTTGATGGGGCGCTGTCCTACAATGCAAGCGGGAATCTGGTGATAGAGTCCACTCCTGGCGGAGAGCAATGGATTGGTCAACCCACGCCGGAGATGGACTCCCTGTGGGATAGAGTTGAATCGGGTAAGAACCGCGACTAAAGCAACCAAGATCAAGGAACTTGCGGTGGTGAATTGGGGGTTCCCAGAGTATGGCTCAATTCTGATGGTTCTCCATGCCAGGGTCGATCATCATGCTGGAAGGCTCCGAGGCAAACATGGTGCGGGACAAGACGGCGCTGTTTGATGGGTATTGGCTCACCGGGCTGGATGTTATCCATCAGATGCATTGCTTGGTGCGTTATCCAGAGACTGTCCCCGGGGAAAACTGAAAGAGTGTGCGGTGTCTAACTCGGCTGTAGAACAAAATCCGCAAAGCCCTTTACCCGGAATACTACCAGCCAGAACAGTCAGTTCCGACGGAACAGCTTCATGTTGGTGAGTTGATGGACTCGTCCGATCCTCCTGAATGCACCGTGACATCTAAAGAGTGTTGACAGGTTTTGAAGTGCTGATAAAACTGCATGCAGAACACTGCTTTGACTACATCCGCCAAGCGGTCATGTGCAATGCCGATTTGACCCCTGTCATGCTCACCTGGTATTCCAGTGCGCAGACGTTCGGTCCGGACTTCCACACAACGCATATGTGCCGGGACTTTGAGGCGCTGTTAGAGTGGTCTATTGCTAGGACGTCGAAGGCAATCAAGGGGAAAGGCTCCGGGATAGAAGCGGCGAAGGATCCGCAGTTGGTAATACCGGGAAGCTTACAGGATTTAAATGGGGTAGGGCATGGGGGGCATTGAGTGGACTAGAACAAATCGTAGGCTAGAGCGATGGAGAGAAGTCAGTGAGCAAGCTACGAATGGACGTTCGAAGATCGAGCCCAATCAATTGATTCTATAGCTATCGTAAACGGATCTTATCCCCACACTCTCACCTTCTATGACATGCAGAATGAGATATAAACGGCAACGAAGCTTCACCGGCTTTCACCATCTATTCTACACCAATATCTCACTCATTCATCTCCATCGGAACCTCCTCTCAGACGATCAGTCCCCGGTTCAGAAGGGGCACGAACAAAAAGCAACCCCACGACACAAAGCAGAAATGACCCCGCCAGAGAAAAATAAGGCAGTCCAAGGGAGAGTCCACTGAGCTTCATTCCTATTTCGAACAGGCACGCTAGCACCGGTCCCGCAAACAGCATACTGACTGTTTCTACGATCCCTATTAACGTGTTCAGCTTGGACGTGTCTTGTGGTGCCACGAGGCTGATAGCCAGGGAGCGGCACAGGGGGGCCAAACCAGCCCCCAGGCTCTGCAGCACTAGTCCAAAGAATACGAGACTCATCTGAGACGCCCCCATGGCGAACGCCCCTGCAGCAGCGAGCACGGCCGAGAACCGTGCGAGAGTGAGATCTTTGCTGGCTGGTCGCTGCCTTCGCAGGAGCAATTTTGACAGCCAAGGAAGGGCTAGAGAAAGGACAACCAGATGGATAATCCCACGGACTGTGAGGAGGTAGCCGGTTCTGGCCAGGGGCCAGTCGAAGCGTTTGCTTATATACTGGGCCAGGAACTGTGACGTGGCGAGATGCTCGGGCATACGTGTGAGGAAAGTGGCGAGGACGATAATGATCGAAGTGGACTTTAGCGTCGCTAGGCAGGATTTAAGGAGGTGTAGTGACTGGAATAGGTGTAATTTGAAGGTGGTGCTGCACTTTGGTTGCTCCTCCGAGCCAAGGTGATTGTCATGTTCAGGGAACACATCCCGCTTCAAGGGGGAGAAGGACTCTGGGATGAAGGCCAGCACGGTTAGGCCGATCGGCAGAGCGAAGAAGCCGATCATGGCCGGGATCCATGGTGAGAAGATGTCCATGAGCCTGGCGGAAATAACTGGGCCGACTGAGGCACCGGCTAAACTTGCCAGCACCATCAGGAAGAATGCCGACGCTCTGGTCGTGATTAGGTTAGATGTTGTATATTCGATGTGGATTGATAGGGGCTGACAGAGATACCTCTCTGTTTCAGGCACCAAGTCTGATGCTATAGAGTACAAATTGGCCACCTGGACGGTACTTCCACCACCAACCATATTGAACAGAGGGCCGGCCAGGACGAGCTGTACTGGCACGGTGTCTTGTAAAGCAATGATGGAAAGCTCCCAGGCCAACGCAAGCTGGGATCCGACCGTTGAGAAGAGAATAATCGGTTTACGACCGACCCTATAGACCAGTTACTGTGTTTTCAATTTACTCCAAGCCGGGAGAAGAGCACTCACCTATCGGCCAGGGCTCCGAATGGGAATGCAACAACCAGACCTGTGTCCTCAGTCAATTTCGGAGGGTGTATGGGGACGGTACTAACACTGACCAACGAGGGCCTCCACCAAGAGGAGTGACCCGTTAAGATAGGCTAGTTCGGACTGTATCTGATCAGTCTTGCAGAGCCTTTCATCGATGGAAGAGCCTTGTTCGGTGGTTCGTCGACAGAGATTGTCCTCAATCAGTCGGATCAGGGGCAGGGAGAGAAAGGCACCAGAAGCCGCCAGGAGAAAATTGCAAGTGACAAGGCATGTTAAGAACGACGGGGACCATTGTGACGCTCCGAAGTGAACGCTGCCTAGCAGCGGAGATGTTTCTTCGTGCATGCTTGATAGCTTGTCATGTGTCAGGAAGGAGGACATTAGACAGAGGGATACGGTAATATACCCAGGCTTCCCATGGGCACTTGGTCGGCTGTCCGCTAGCAGATGCAACGCTATGATAAAGGAATCTTAGTAGCCACGACTAAGTACAAGGGTGTATCAAGCAGGATTATGAAGATTTCTGACTAAGATAAGCTGCAGCCGTGCCTATCGGACTCCTTGCTCGATTGGCGGCAGTGATAGGCTTAGAGCTTATAAGATTGGTCCCTGTATTACTTGGCTATGGGCTCGATGGTATTGGAATTGATTTCACTTGCTGTGGATAGTTTTCAACGAGTAGCAAATTATCCAGAATAGATGTTGCACTCCCGATCTCATTATGCCTACCAGCTCTGGAGAATACAAATTTTCTGTACAGAGACTCGCACGAGTCGAAACTATGTACTACAAGCCTAATAAGAATTAATGGCCAGCGTTGATAGCGATCCATAGATCATCGCAAGATAACAACAGACAAAGCACGCGAGAGAGGCATTATGCGAATATCAAGGCTGTCATTGAGCGCAACAGTTTTGGAAAAGAAGAAATAATATTGCCATGAGATAATGTCTGGTGGTATGAAAGTATCTATTTACAACCCAGCAATCGTCGCAGGAAGTCCCTCCATTCCCTCCAAGAACACATCAAACTCCTTCTCAACCTCATCCATCTTCTCATCGATATCATCCGTCCATCGATGAATATAAACCGTCTTCATTCCGATCTGCTTCGCGGCTCGTAAATCATACGCATGCGCTGCCACCATGACCACTTCTTCCGGCTGAAGTTTCACAAGCTGTAACGCTTTCTGGTACGCCTCCAGATTCGGCTTGTACAGTCCCAACAACTGGCTAGAAAACAGCATATTAAAACTCAACCCTGAAGAACGAACGAGGTCAAGCTGGAGGCGCGTTGTCCCGTTGGCATGCACGAAGACTTCCAGGCCGAGATCTTCCCGGATACTGCGTATGGCGATCGGCACTTCTGGCCAGGCCGGTTGAGAGTGCCATGCTTTGATAAGTTGTCCTTTGGTGTCACTGTCAACGTAGGATGTATAGTTCGAGTACGATTCGGTCAGTACAGCGTCCAGCACACGAGCGAGCGTGATGTCAATATCTTCCGGCTCCAGATTCTGTCGAAATCGCTGCTGGTTTTCGATAAAGTACTGCCTGCGCCATTCCAGAGCCAACTTCGAAGCGTCATCTCGGGGGATTGATGAGGGAAACGACTGGACAATGGAGGTGTGCCAGTCGAGACATGTCCCCATGAAATCGAAGAAGACGGCTTTGACTTTTGTTTGTTCCGAGGACATGATGTTGGTTGCTCGCCTCAACGCAAGAAAATACTCACGTCTTGTCCAGGTAATTCTCAAGATGCTTCTGTTGTTGAGCTTATATCCTCAGTTAGGCAACCCATATGGATTTATAAGCGTCGGGTTATAAATAGATCATCTCGTCACGCGACAAACCCATTCGAAAGATTCGATTATTCATTCGTCCTTTTCTGTGGAGCATGATCCGAGCGTTCTCAAACAATTTCAACGGTATTTACAATATCGAGTACCAGGTACACCACAGACATTTCCATTATAACTCATAGCAAGTAGTAAACCGCCGGAGCTTGTATGTTAAATATGCCGCTTTCTCAGCCTTGCATCTGTCAAACACGGCTCACAGCTCACAATGTCCGAGATACCAGCCCCAGAAGGGACTTACACCACCAACCCACGAATATTGAAACACGATCTCTTTGGCTACTACGCCGGCCTCCTCAATGCCGCGATTCTAATGAGAGTCAACGCAGTCTCCTCCTGGACCGGCTTGGCAGAATTGACGGATGTCCCTATGAAACTTTGCCGTATATATGGATGGCGCGGTAAAAGTATACTATTAAAGTCCGGAAGGTGAAGATATTTAGAGGTGCTCCATACACTGATCATTATTAACACAGGGACGGATACTTTTGTCAACAATACACCACTGGGATTCCGGGTTCATGTATGCTAGTTGGGAGAGGAACAAGCCTTCGGGCTGACTTCGTCACATGGTGTGAACTCAGCTGATCTATACAAGTGGATTGCAGACAGGGCCACTGACAGGTTTTAGCTATCATTCCTACGGTCTTAGTGAATATATAGAGCCAAACTCGAGCAACGTTCTGGGCGTCGGAAATTGAATTTGCTTGAATCCTCGAAGCGAATAAATTGAAAATGCAATTCAATGCACTCATTCGCCTAGGATATTAATGTGAGGTTTGAGATTTTGGAAATACCGGTATCACTTTAGTGCTTACAGTTTTCTCAACTTGATATTCTGAAACCTGTGGTTCTCGAACGCCGTTCATCAGATCCGTAGGTTTTAAAACCATAGAACTAGGTCGGCTGACGCAAAGTTACGTAACAGAGCAGCAAACACCATCACTCCTACACATTCCGCAAGACCCTACATCATGAATATCGCAGAGTTTGCAGAGGACGAGTTCTTGATCGGTTTCCTCGAAGGAACTCAAGAACTTGTCGCCACCAACATACAGGCAATCAAGAGGGCGCTAAACAAGAAGCTTGATGCAAACGAAGAAGAATCGGAATACACGGTCTTTTCATATGTTGGGTCGCAGGTTGCTCAGCAACTAAGCAAGGATGGAGGCTTGCGCCGTGAAATCGGCATGAGGATCTTCTATGACGCTACTTGTCGCAAGTTGATTGTCAAGATACCCACAGGCCTCCACGGAGGGGCTACCGAGACCCTCTCATTTCTCATCCTAGAGGCGGCATCAAGGCAGGGACTGAGGGGTAAGCTGAGACCGGCCGGGGCCCAAACATTTGTGGATGGCCCGTATCGCAAAGAGCCTGATGCGGCATTTATCCCGGAGGTACCTATTCCTGGGCGGGACAGAACGTGGCCCACTATTGTTATCGAAACCGGTGTTTCGGAGAGTGTGGCAAGGCTCCGTATTGATGCTTCGTGGTGGCTTGCCAGATCGAAGGGCTTGGTGAAACTTGTGATTTTGATCTCAGTCAGTCGTGTTCAGCCCAAAGTTGGCCTGGAGTGCTGGAAATTGGGGGCTGTCCAGCACTCCCATAATCTTCGGAGTTTATCCCAGGCCCCCCTGCGTCCAACCAAGACCCAATCAATCACGATAACTCGTTCTGGTGGCAGTACAATGGTTATGGGGGCGCCACTGGTCATCCAATTTCAGGATGTGTTTGTCAATCCCCCTTCTGGCCCTCTTCAGGGTGATTTCGTTTTCGGGGCCGCGCTTCTGGAAGAAATTGCTCGCTCAGTTTGGCAGGCCCAGGGTATCATCTAAGATGAATCGCAGCGCGAAGAAGGTCCTTATCCTTCTTCTATATTCTCCTTTTCCCCTCTCATTTCAGCTTTTACTAAAGAAGTATTTTAATACTCGAGGATGAATATCAATCTCTTCTCTCGCTATGAAACGTAACGTATCGCATATGAAAACAATAATAATACCCCATAATACCAAATAGCCGGCGAAGTTGTAGATTAACTAAAGATCAGTCCCACTCTGTTGGCCTTCAAGAGTCTCTTTCATGGGTCAAGGTAGTTTAGCTGATGCCAATATTGTATAATTTCCGGCAGGTAACCTCGATGGCAATGGATAGAAACGACCTCACAGGGAGTTAATCGGATGGAAGCAGGATGTGAGGTCAGTCCCTTGTCGTTCCAGCATCGCCTATAGAACATGCTAAGAATTAAATGTACCATATATGATCTAGATAACACAAACCTCAGAGAATCCCAAGAAGGGTAAAGCAATACTGCTCTATAATATCGTTGATAAACTTCAAAATGCACTTAAACAATCAGGACTGCCGTCATTCCTGTTTGTCACGCTACTAATTTTACGGATCAATAAGGTACAGCTAACGGCCTTCCTTGGTTCTCTCTACAAGCAGACACGATAAAATATATGTGAATATAAAGAGCATATTTCGGAAGCTGCCATTGGAAGAATCTGTAACATTCTACTTGAAGCAGTTGGTTTCGGAACTCAACTGCGGCCAGCCTTAAAGGAACGAACACCAGTGATTCTAGGACCAAACTGGATCAAATAACAACATAACAGAGTAAGGATAGTTCAATAGCCTTTTGAACAACAGAAGGAGATGACCAGGAAGATAGAAGGGAGCCCTCCAATGCCCAAGGGGCCAAAGAACTAGCGTCCCTAGTAATATGCGCGTCTCTGTCAATGCCACCAGTCCCACTTGATTAACCATGTCACATCCAAGCGAGGCCGAAGTACAACCTGAGGGGCCACAAGAAATATCTAATCAAGTGGACACCTCACCCGACGGAACTGGACCGTCACACTCTTCCCATTGTATGCGTTGTAGAGATATTTATTGGGTCTGATTTCGATGCCATTGTTATTAGATGCCTGGCCCGTCAGGATTAGGTTCATATAGCAGCTATCCCTGGGGTTGGTTATATCGTCGCAGTCTTCCATGCGAGCCTCAAAATACGCGTAGTTTCTGTTGCCAAGGCCCGCTGGGTAGAAGTAGTTGAGATTGTTGTTGGCGACGAATTCTCCGTTGCGAGAATAGTGATTGCCACGGAAATCCCACAGGTATAAGTTACCTCGGTGGCGCACCTCCTGGTCGTCTGTATTCTGACGCTGGCAGGAGGTCATGAGTCGACAAACCTGGAACGTTCTGGAGTTTGAATAACCTCCAAAGAGGTAGTAGCTCCAAGGGTGGGAGTCTGATCCCAGCCAACTTCCATCAGCCTGGATCTTGTAGCATCCACCGTATTGTAGCGTGTGATTGGAATCGTCATTGGTGTCAAGCTCAAGGTTATCTGACAGGCCCTCTGGGACGAGCACCCTCTCTTCTCCCGCGTAAGGAATCGAGGCTTGGCTCTCCAGCGTATCTGCGGCTAGAGCAATGCCATCTTCAGGGAGTAGTGCCGGGTGAGGATTGGCATAGCCACATTGCCCGAGTGTGAGAGTGGCAAGTGACACCTTCCAAATGTGGTGAGGTGAAAGGAATGGCATACTGGCAAAATTGGGTTCTCGTAGTTTATTGATAGAGTAAATATCTTTGTTCGCACAGCACTGAAGCAGGTAGGCTTGATGCTCTTAAATTTAGTCCAATGCTTAGCATTTATATCAAATGGAAAAGTGTGTGTAGGCTATTTCCATGACATTCACTACTCAGAGCGTGTCTAGAAGGGCTGGTGATGCAAAGAGGGAACAGGCAATGACCTCATAAACAGCATATAGTGTTCTAACTCTGGTACATACGTGTCTGAAGAAAGTGTCTTATCTTGATATCTATACTTCTTGTATGTCAGTGATGTCATGATGTACACATAGTGAGAAAGCGTCATGGTTGTGATTAAGGGCTTAAGACTCCAATGACGTAGGAGACTGACTAGAAGCATCGAGAAGGGTGAGAGTATGATATCAGATGAGACATGAACGAGCTAAGAGTTAATTACCCAGATTGTCAACTCCACTATGGCTTGTGGACCTATGTATGCATCGGCTAATAGAGTTGAAAGTATCTCTCCCTAATGAGAGGTTAACCGACGGCTGTCCATGGACAGGCTTTCTCCAAAGATATACTATTAAGAGCATAATTCTATTTATCTTGATCCTCGTCGCCAGAAACTTTCAAATAGAAGCTATTACAGGTCTTTCTTAGTGATTAGATCTCATTAACATGTACGACAGAACAGCTAGTCGGTTAGTACTTCGTGACTGGCTTTTCTTAGGTCATTCTAACGCTAATAGGTGATGGTGGAGTGGCTACACACCGAAAGGCTTGAATAAATGAGAACTAATAGAGGAGAGAACAAGGACAATGACAAACATCAAATATGAGCACTGACGAAAAGAGCTCAGAATCTGCGTTAAACGCCAATGCAACAGGAGCTTTCCTCCAGATGGCCACGAGCAACACTGCGAAGGGTGAATTTTACGTTGCAGCAACAGTACCAAATCTAGAGGTTCGGTCTGGAATGAAAGCCCAAGCATGTTGGTTTTACACACTGTAACCTTGGATGATTGTAAAGACAGCTAGCCGGAATGTCCACGAAAAATGCAGGCTCGCTTAAATGGATTATGGATTATTCAACATGAGTGAGGCCAAGGATCTGTTTCTTCATTCCTTCAGCTAATAGCATGAACTTTGTTTATATGAATGTGCATTCTTGTGCTTCAGTCCCCGCCCGTTGCATTGAACCTGGTGCAGAATACTCTGGAGTAGAAGGCTTGATGTCATAACCTTGCCCAGGGTAACCTTAGTCCGTAGGATAGACCGGCCTGCTAGCACGTCACCCATCCTTTTAATATTATGTATATCATGATAGTCCCGTTCACAATCTTATAGGAACAAAGCCCCTTCCCAACGTTGAACAAGCCAATGGTTGCGGTTTATCATGTTAATCTTTCCCAACTTATAGATCGAATAAGTATTTACATTTGAGTGCTGAGGGTATATTGTTTCCTTTTCCTTTCTCAATGAGTAGGATGAGTTGGCAGAGATAGAAGCGGGCCCGCCGGAAACGGAAAAGGTGAGAGTGGGCTTGTATTTCATCTACGGCTCCCGACAAAGGCACCTGAATTCCGTACCAAGGACCAACCAAGGATTCTACTCCGACGTCTAGGCCGACCCACATCGCGGGAACGTCAAAAGCCACTAGTCATTGACGTCGGCGACGTTTTAAGGTTGCCCCGGATTAGGTTGCAGCCGCCCGCGTCGATTAGGGTTACGTCGGCTCCCCGAGTCCGCAAACAAAAGCTAAACGCGAAAGTTAGTTAACACTACGGCAGACCCACACCTCAATCCAACCCTGGCTGTCATGAAGAATGATAATGAATGAAACCAAATTTGTTCGCCAAATTCTTGCAGTGAAAATACAATATACTGAAATCGCTTTAATTAGTTACACTTCGGGCGGGGTTAAGAAGCAACCGCGTCAAGTTACTATGTTAACACGTCCAATTTCCCAGCAGCCTATAATGTAACGCTATTTAATCACCAGCTAGGCTACTCAAAATGCCTCACCAAAGCTTTAGGTGAAATAAGAAGGCAGAATTTGCTGAGCTACATTAGCTATTGAAAAGAAAGGAAATTCATATTTATAGAGTTATATATATTTCTGGTATTTGTAGCACTGTACGTTAATAGAACTTGAAAGGCCAAGCATCTTGAACTGAAGCTAATAGCTATGCATTGATCAGGAATAAAGAGCATTTATCAGTACACTGGCGCTATTACCACTCGCGGCACTTACGTTACACCACCTGGTGAAGGACCACAGCTAGCCACCCCCTGCAGCGGGTGACGCCTAGTCGTGGATGCCAAACCGGCGAGACTGCAGATCCGAGCAGAAACCGCTTTCGATATTTTTTCAAACACTGACAGCGGACATGACGTCCGAGATTTGGTTGGACGACCCTGTAGAGTGTGGTATCAAGGTATGATTACACAACTGGCTTCTAGGTAGTATACCGCATCCGGGCGTCGAATGACGGTCAATTCGCCTGGTTCCCAAGTTGTAGCATTTCGCTCTGGGTGTCAGGTTTCTGTCAGGGCGTTCGCAGGTCATTGCCTGCTGCAGTGCAACTCCCCGGGGTTGCATTGGAGTGTGCATGCAGTGCGTCACGACCTAAAATCGTAGAGTTGAGAGTGTCAGTTAGGAACTGGCAGGTACACAAATATAAGTCTGAAATTACGCTGGTTCTCATGCTCCACGAGGCAGTAATAGTCTGTCTACTTCGATTACTATCTATCTCCTTTGCCTGGCCGACATGAGTTTATTCAATGATGCATCTGATGGGTCCCTCACCCGCCAAAAACTCGAGGAGCATCTGAGGAGGTCACCCAACATCAACAATACCTCGGGCAATGGTGAAACTGCACTGGGCCTGGCCATCAAGAACGGGCATACCAGTGCCGTCAGCCTTCTACTGAAGTTTGGAGCCAATCCGGCCACACGAAATATAGATGGCAGATCACCATTATATCTGATTGCAACGGCGCCGGAAAAGAAACGAGTCCGCCTAGCTGAGCTATTGCTGAATGCCGGCGCCAGGATCGATGAGTCGGTGCCCGCCTATGGCAATAACACCCCGCTCATGGTGGCCATTACCCAGGCTAAGGATCCGAAGCTCATTCACGCCCTAGTGGAAGCTGGCGCATCTCTGACCCAGACCAATGATCGCGGTGAATCAGCCAAGACCCTAGCACGCGACTCGATGGATCCCGCCATCCAGCGGGCTCTCGTGCCCGGGGGAGACCCGACAAGAGCCTATAAGCCCGAGCTGGGAAATCTTCTCACCACCGCCGGCCAATTTGCGGCCGCCTATTTCGGTGACTGGAAGGATGTCGCTAAGGATGCCGTTGACCGGATTGCCCAGTACCTGCACAGGGATGCTGCACTCAATGAGGTAAGGAAGCTAGCCATTTCACTGATGTGAGAACTGTAAGCTGACAGAGACATACAGGGTCTCAAAGAACTCCACACAGTGGAGGACTTTAAGGACTTTCTGTGGGACTACATTGATCGTCAAGGGCTGGAGGACTTCTACCCGGCCAATGACCCTCGCATCCAAGCCATCGCCGAGGCAGCAGTGGCGTTTCGGAAGAAGCCTGAGGCTAAAGCCCTATCCGTCCAGCCTGCCCTATCGCTCCAGACGAAATCCCTATTTGTCCAGACGAGTGGCCTATCCGTTCAGACCACAGCTCCAACCACCAAGAACCTTCTGACTTTGGCTGTGGCGCAGCTGTACACACCTGTACTGTATATTGACGATAGCGGCTCAATGGGCTGGGGTCTCCAGGGACAGAATGATACAAGTAGTAGCAAGCGGGTGGATGCAGCAAAACACCTTGTGGGCGAGCTGATGGATATACTCGACTGGGTGAACCCTGATGCTCTCCAGGGCATCGGAACTACGAGCATTCGCTTTATCAACCGAGACGTGGGCAACGCGGACAAACTGACAAGCGACCAGATCAAGCAGCACATGAGCCAGATGACGCTACCTGGTGGAACTCCTCTAGGAACTAATCTGCGATCTAAAATCTTGAACCCCCTGATCTATAATCCTATCAACGCGAATCAGGACCTCCGGGCCCCATACTTGATCATGACGATCGGAGACGGAGTGCCCAATGGTGAGACTAGGGATACCTTCCGCAACGAGATCGTGGGCGCAGCGAACTTCCTGAAAGGCGCCAAATATTCCCCTGAAGGTTTGTTGCAATACCAATGCGGAAGATATCTTGATGGACTGTGCTGATGTCTCCTCTTACTTGCAGCGGTCAAGTTCACCTTCAGCCAGATTGGCACCGACGCCGACGCGGAGGCCTTCCGCAACGAGCTGATCAACAACCCTCTACCGGATCACACCCTTTATGTTTCGTCTGGTAAGGAATTTTATAGTGCTGAACGCATATCATAGAAAGTCCCAAAGGCTGATTACTGGTGCCAGATCGTTTCGATCAAGATTACGATATTAACAAGGGCAACTCTGAGAGACTCAAGGCAAATGTAAGCAGTTTGCGACTCCGACCAGCTCAGCGTATTCACCAACTGACCTTCTTGTACAGCTCATGAGTTGGCTTTCCGGCCTGGTTGATCTCAAGTAACTGGCGGACTCCGGATATCCACCCGGCCCATCATTCATAGCAGTAGATAGGGTCATAGACTATTATTTAATTATCAAGGTACTGTTTACAAGCACCCAGCATGGTCCAGCAGTAATTATGGCATCAGTGAAACTCCATGAGTCGTCGAATTCGTATCATCACTGTGGGCGTCCGAAAGGGATCCGCAAACGGATCTCGACTTTCCCCACGTTGGGAGGGTTGGTAGGATTTTTATGGGATATGGTACACCAGACAAAGGCCGAGGGGCATTCTGAAGAGCGCTATGGGGACATCTATGGGACCTCCTGTTTTACGAAAGTGCAGTACCGAAGACCCTTTTATACTAAACAGGACTTAATCTCATTAGAACCACAACTTCGTACAGTTCGACTCTCATCTATCGCAGCGGAGCCAAAGGCTGTATAGTTCCCCCCAAAAGTTTCCATGTGGTCTCAATTTCTCCCTCATAACACCGCTTTTACATATATTATTTATCCATTTAGTATATAGGTATATTATATAGCAAACTATATCAAAGTAATCTTAAAAAATACATTATATTTAATTAATAGTCTGTTTAATTTTATATATCTCTTTTAAATTTCAAATAATTTAATACAGAATGGGGGATATAATAGTAAAAACAAAATCTCAATACAAGTAATAAAGTTTCTCGATAATCTATATACAACAAAGTATATATTTTTATAAGATATTACTTGTTGCTACTGCACCTTTAATTTTTTTTATTAAATTATTAGGAATTTAAAAGAGATATATATAATTTTAAATAGCGTAATACTATATAAAGTGTTTTACAATTTTATAATTTTTGAGACAAAATTACAACTGTAGAAAAGATGCTGTAATTTTTGTATAATAAATTTTTTCTATTATTTTCATGTACTTTATCCTGGAATCTATCTATATACCAAGTAACTAAATAATACATATAAAGATGGCACTGTAAAAAAAAATGAGTCGGAATAAGTCCACACGGAAACGCTTGACGTAGAATTGTATATAGAATTTCGCCAGTCACCTGTTAAATAGCACGAGTGTGAAGAAATCCATTATATTAGACCGAGTTGTATATCATTTTAATCACTATGGAATATAATAGAGACTGTGCCTAGAATCATCTTCTACACCTAACCTCTGACACATCGCGGTGGAGCTCATGGCTTTGTGAAGAACATAGCCGGTCGCATGTCGAACAGCACTGAGAAGGACTTGCCATCTGCGGATACTGCGACCGCCTTGGCCTTTCTGTCCGTATCGGTGGTGTGTGCAAAGTCTCCATTCAAGGACCAGACTCGGACAGTTCGGTCCTCCGACGCAGAGAGCAGTGCATTCCCCTCGGCGGCGAAGACAACATCCACAACCGCAGCTGCGTGAGCCCGTAAGTCGCGGCGCTGGTTGCGGGTCTGAGCATCCAGAATTCTGACACTGGAGTCTTCCAATCCGCAGGCAATATTGGCCCCGTTGGGTGAAAAAGCCACGCTGCGAACGACGGCCCCAAGAGGATGCGTCTCAACGACCCGGGCTTTGTTCCAGAACTTGATGGTCTTGTCGGCAGACGCGGTGACGAGAGTACCGTCTTTCGGCGAGAATGCTAGGCTGTGCACAGCAGCTTGGTGCTTGTCTTGCACTGCGATCGGGGAATGCGAGCCTGCATCCCACATCAGTACTTGGCCGTCGTCAAGCCCGGCAACAGCAGTCTGTCCGTCGGGTGAGAAGGCCACCCGATTCACCCTGAGATCCTTTCTCCCCTCCATCAACGTGTAGCTATTACTCGGGCTACCCGGTAGTCCGACGGTATACACCTTCACAACCCCAAAGAAGCACGCCACAAGGACAGACTTCCCGTCGGGGTGCCAGGCGATGCTTGTGGCAAGCCCATCGGCCGACGGCATGGTTGTCACCCGTGTCGCTTGCCCAGTGGTAACATCGTAAACATCGATGTTTCGAGCGACGTCCACGGTCACCACCTGGTTAGCATTGGTTGGAGAGTACGCCAGCGCCGTGGCTCTAATTGTGTTCTTCGTCATCGCCTGGTTGGCCGGCCATGCACCGTTGCCAATATGATTCTGACCATCTCGGCGGCACTGTTCAATCTGCTCCTGGGCGGTTTTCTCTTGCTCATCGAGTTTCTGTTTGCACTCCGTGTTCAAAGTACCTTTCTCGGTGTCACATCTCGTCTTCTCCGCGGCTATGTCCCGATCACACTTTTCCTGAGAGGACTTTCTCTGCTCCTCAAGTTTCTGGTTGCACTCTGTTTGTAAGGCGCCTTTCTCAGTGTCGCATTTAGTTCTCTCGGCGGCCTTGTCCTGGTCACAGGTCCTTTTGTCTGCAGCCTTCTCCTGGTCGCAAGTCCTTTTGTCTGCGGCCTTGTCCAGTTCGCACTGGGTTTGGCAAGCTTTTTTCTCATCGTCGAGCTTCTGGTTGCACTCAGTCTGCAAAGTGCCTTTCTCCTTGTCACATTTGGCCTGTGCCTCCCTGACCTTCACGGAGCAATCCTCTTGCTCCACTTCACCTTCATACGTCATCAGCAGGTGCCCCGGAGCATCGTCAAGTCCCGGCGCTGTCCGATTTGTGTACCAGCAGGTCCTCCTGGATGGGTCCCATGCCGCCACCTTGGCTCGGCCTGTGCGGATATAGGTGACACACTGCTGGGCGGAAAGCAAGGATTGTCTGGAAATCTGGCCCTTCGTGTCGGGCCTTTTGCCGCAGTTAATTTGGATGATATCGGAGCCAACGTTCTCGGTGCGCGGCAAGGTCCCGCTACAGCAGTCGCTGAGGTCTTGGACTTTGCCGTCGGACAAGGCTTTGCAGCTCCCCGGATCGCCATTCGCAGCGCTAATCCCGGACAACGGGCTGACGCCTAGGACTGACAATAGAAAGACATTCAACCGCATGGTTACGATATACAAGAAACCCGCTTTCTGTTGAAGATGGAGATGGGAGGATGGGGACCAGATACTTCTGCTTCCTGGCTTCCCCTTTCTTTCAGCGTAGGGTGCGGATAAATACCCCCACGACATAGCCTTCGCTTGCGGTGCATCGAAAGAAGTAGCATGTGCTAGACTCAGCGCGTCATAGACTGCCCCGGGGGTACCTGAGTGCATCTGCAAGCGTACATACATGACAGTCCTAATGCGTCCGTCCTTGTGTTATGCCCCACTCGGAGTATTGCAACCTAATACTACTCTATCCTGACATGAGACAGACACATCACACTCTTGATGTCACCGTGATAGCTACTATCCTCCAAAGCCCTCACCGTTGAGGGGGGACCAGAACCAACATGTACAAACTCATGAACGCAAGACTTGTACCGTTTGCAGTCACTAACAGAGGCACGGATAATCACCATAGTGGTGCACTCTCATATCCAATCAGTCACCTTACGCCGCGTGGGATACCCGTAATCCAGCTTAGGATGGCCCGATATCATCAATGTGACTTGTGATATGCGAGTAAGACGCACATGCCAAATTTTGTGTTCCTGGAACTAGTTCAGGGACATGCACAGAGAGGTCAATGAATAGTCTACTTTGGCTCTAGGAGTGTGTAATTCTGGCAATAAATCTTGATTTGACATTAATCACAAGATATAACCAATCCAGCCTATTTCCTAAATCTTCCTCGCACCCCTTTCCACACCACACCAGACATCTCCAAGACTACCAACACTAACAGAATGAAGCATTATTTGCCATCACGGGGTTAGGAGCACATAGCGAGCACCTAAGCCTTGGGCAGCGGACCAGGACGGTCACACTTGGTGTAGCAAATGTATCCACCTTCGTCGGGGTACTCGATCGGAATACAGTCTTCGACTCCGTCAAATATCCAGCCAAGCTCACAAGGCTTCACCGGCAAACACTGGATCTTTTTTTTGTCCCAGTACTCTCCACGCTGACAGTTGTTGGGTACGCAGGTTTGTCCTTGGCGGTGCTCACCTGGTTTGCAGTCCGGCAACCGCTGACATGTAGAGCCGTTCCAGAAGGTATTCGGGTCAGGGCAAGGCGCACAATCCTTGGCCGGTCCCTGGTAGTAGTGTTCCGGGTTCAGACATTTCGGGCGCGGCTGACATCCGGTGGGACTGGCGTATTCGTCCGGCCGACACGTCTCACACTGGTTCTTCCAGGGAATGTAAACCTTGTTCTCGTCCGGGTCGCAGAACTGCTTCTCTTCACATCTCTCTTCCTGAACGAGATACACCTGGCCTGGCAAGCAAGGGGGCGGCGTGCAGCCCTTCTCGGGATCCCAATAATAATCATTCAGACAATGGGGGTTGGGCGCACAGTCTCGGCCGTTGTAGTATCCCCACGGCCTGCAGCGCTCACGGTGGTCGCAGGCTCCCAAGGACCAGAAGAAGACCTGGCCCTCGGGGCAGGAGGGACGCTCACACCGCTGCGTGGTGGGGTTGTAGTATTCATCCGGGGGAGTGCAGGGTATGCAATCCACCCCATTGTGTTGGAAGCCCGCTCGACAGCAGTGATACCGCATGGTAACTGGATCCATCACTGCGTTTGCTTTCGGGCAATTGTCCGTGTTCTGCGCGTGGGCTGTGAGCGCCACGCTCAGAATGACGGAGACATGGGAGAAACGCATGATGATCACTTGTTTCAGACTCTGCAAAGAATAAGAGATCAACGACTGTGGAATGCTTCGGTCTGATCAGCCTGGAAGGGAAATCCAACTACTTATCCCTTTGCCAGGCCTTCTGAAATCTCTCCGGAAGTGTTGAAGTCATTGAGGCCCTCCGAATGCAACACCTCGCTAGGACAGGTCATGACGGCGAGAGTGAAAAATATTTTCCTTGGTGTGAATACGCAGTACAGCATAGTACCCTCTGCCTTGGTAATGGTAGTAGTGACGTTTACGTTCTTGATATGCTACCTACAATAGGTGACATTCCAAGCGATGCGGAAGCCATCTCCGGATGTGACCCTAAACTTCCGCAAACTGACAGCTGCCAGTGGTAACTGTCCTTGTTTTTTGTTTTTTACGCAAGTCGTCTAGAACGGATACTAATTTTTATTAATGGACAAATCTCGTCTGTACCTACAACACGTCACGTCGAGGCCCACTCCATATCACCCCAGGGGGTTGTTGTTCTCGATCTCGTGGGCGGGACGAAAGCGGCGACTTGCCCTACTTCACTTGCAACCGTGGCCTCCCTTGTGGATATGTCGGAATAAAATGCAATACCACCAGAAGTAGGCTCCAAAGGTTCTTGCTTCTGCTGTTCCATTCTGCTGGGTTGCAGTCACAGAGGTGTCTGTTGCGGACCTTGGACTAACTAGTGCTGCCACAGAATAATATCATGGCTACAACAGAATAGGTAGTGAAAATATTCCACTTGGTAGAATACTAAATGGAAGAATAATACTTGGGCATATGAATATTACGGATCATCGAATACTATAGCAATAATAGTGACGGATTTCAAGATTTGTAAAAGAATAATACGAAGACCATGCTGAATGAGTTCTAAGTTAATGAATCCGAGAATTGAAAGGGCGAGGAGTATGGTATAGAATAATTTGGTGGGTGCACCTAAAACATCTGAGGTGGAAATAGATTCTTGGCGTTGGTGACAACCACCAGACTCACTCTAGGGTTATCGTTGAATCCAGGATATGCTAGATTAGAAGAACTACTTGAGCAAATCCGCCCCCCTGGTCTTCCTGGTTCTTCTCCCTGTCCCAGTTCCCACCGCTAGGGAATATCATACGCCATATTTATGACAATTCATGCATGGGCTATTTTTATCACACACCTTTCACAGCAATTCGTTAGTTGAGATGAACAAGCGAACTTCTGAAGAGGCATACCTTGATTTTTCTTCTTTTGCATTCCACACAGCCTTTGCGGGGTTTAGTGTGGGTGCGTCTGCTCCGCATCGCCATTGGCTGAAGTGCTCTAGAACAGAGAGAGCCTACGAGTATGTAGATCCGAAGGTGAGCATGCATAGCAAGTCCGTTGCCAATATATTTGTCTACGCAGGGAAAAGTATCGTAGTATTACTCAACATAGGACTTGTTAATGTAATTCACAATGTTTGGATAGCACCCAGTCTACTGGTGTACAGTCGGATGCCAGACTTTGTTTCTAAACAATTCGTCATGCCACTTAAGCTATGTGTGTAGAGTACAAGAGGCTGAGCAGCAGTAAAGAAAATCCAATCTTCATCCGAGCTGAATAAGAACGCATGATCTAGTTCTTCAGATCGACTCTGTCCTCTGGCCTAATATCACTGAAGGTCATGAAAGCCTCTGATTGATCCTCGTTCAAGTCTACCTGGCATCTATCCCAGTTCCAGATAAGTAACAGTTCTTAAAGTGCCTTTGCATACAATAAATTCGCAAGACTTTGTCCACCCTTCCGTTGTGTGGAATTGTGCGAACTGTTTAATTCAACAGGAACATGGCCTTCATCGATAGGACTTGCAGGTATGGGGTGTCCAAACCTGCCACAAATACTGTGCCGTACAACTCAACTAGTAGGGCGTACATATATTCCTAACGGTTGTTCTATTGGGATATGCTTTTAGGGAAACAAGGGGAAGAGACATGCATGGGCAGTATTCCAGGAAAATATAAGAGAGGAGGCTACACTAATCCGTACGATTTTAATTGTAGTCACAGATAGAGTTAGTTTAGGGCGAGTTCAGGTTCTAGATCTAGGACAGGACTCTCGGGATAGTATGCACGCCCCAGTCTTCACCAAAGTCTATTGCATCCTGCTAAGAAACCTAGATCCTAATTCTCGAGTATTAGCTAGGGAGACCCTCGGCAAGACAGGATATCGCCGGCGATGGGAAAGAAGGTGGTGTTCGATACTTGGCAAACGTTGGCATCACTTCACCGTGGGTGAATGGGGTAGGTAGGTACATACTCTACCAGCCACCCAGCCTACCATGCACAATAGACACTTCGAAGTCAAACACATAACAGACTTTCGGCACAGCTCGGTGCTCAAGGCCACTGAATCATAGAGCTGGTTCTGGGAGAGTCGGTCTTGTTCTCATCCTAGACATGACATGCAGGAACCTGGTCAATTTCCGTGAAGCTAAATAACCTAAATTTCGCGGTAGCGCACACTAATAAGCATGTCATCGATTTCAGCATTGATCGACATAAATCGTCCAGCTTCTATAGGTCTTAGACCCGGTGTGCCGAGACTCAGTAGGTGGAATTGATGCACTGTTCCCACATTGAGTGCGTCCTTGCCCCCTCCTCCATGAACGTATTTTCAGAGTATCAACGTCGCAGCGGATAGGAACGTACTGATGTTCATTTTCCAGATACCTAGGGACATTCTATAAAATACCTAATAACACTAGCCTAAAAAAAAATCTGTCTCCCACGCACCAAATGCTAAGCAGTTGGCTTGTATTATTGAAAAACGTGGTAAAATCACGACAAGACAAACGAGTCCAACACCACACTTCCTCCCGCCTCAGTAGTCGCAAAGTTGAAGATACCAAATCGGTATCCCATGAAGAACTCCCACTCATTGTTCAATTCGTAGACATCCCCCAAGTTTGTGAACGTCACACCGTCCAAGCTGTAAGAAAACTGGCCGCTGCCTGCATACGGAGTGATATCTGCTTCCACACGAAGCCATATCTCACTACCAGAGAATTCGGCCGTGGCACTCTCAGTCCCTGTGGAAACAGTGTTCCAATCCGAGTCCATCTCCAGTCCCGTGGTAACGCCGATGTGAGAGGTACCTCCATCATTGACTACGCCAATCCAAGCGGAGGAATGACGGAGCAGTGCAAGGCCCGCACGATCGCCGCTGGACATGGAGCTGGTATCAAAGTGAATGGTGGCGGTTGAAACAGGGCCTAGAATTCGATGGGTTAAGGTGTTTTTGGCTGCGTATAGGTCGTCGGTTACTGAGGCCGTGGTGAGAGTGACCCCGTTGTTGATGGACCATTTTTCATTGTCGGGGTTGTGGTTCCATTCCCACTGTGGTGAGAGGGTATCCCCGGTGAAGTTATCGGTATATGGTTCAAAGGATGAGATGGGGGTAGACGAGGGAGTGATATTCAGCGCCTCATAAGTTGTGCTCCATCCACCATCAACTAACTCCACTGAAGGCCAGCCATCGCTTCCCCAGGTCAAAGGAGCGAGAACGGGAATTCGCCCTCCCGGATAGGCATCGACAAAAGCCATGTAATACCAATCTCCGTTCGGTGTGTCAACAATACCTCCCTGGTGCGGGTATCCTGCCCCCGAGACAGGATTGCCAGCATTGGATATCAGTAGACGACGCTCATAAGGACCAAATACACCGGAGGCCGACATAAGAACATGTTCCTCGTTGGCGGGGTGAACAACAAGTATGTAGAAGTTCCCATCGTGCTGATAGAATCGGGATCCCTCCAGATATCCAGCATCGTCCGAAGGGAAGACCATCCGCGAGCTCACTTCACTTAGCCCGTCGTCGGAGAGCTCGGCAATAGAGATCCCATTGTTCCCGTAGGCAACATACATCTTATCATCGTCTGTGATGAGCAGACCACAATCATAGTAGCATTTATTGATCGTTGAGGCTTGGGTCCATGGACCTTCGGCGTTGGGGGCCGTGTAAATGTATGTGGTACCGTCAATGCAGCCCATCCAGTAGAAGGTCGACCTGCTTGGTCGATAGTTCAATGTTGAAGCCCATGTACCGTGAATGTACGCCTGTTTGCCACCTTCGAGATAGTAATTTGGGCCGAACGTAAGCTCTGGAATAGAGTGGCTAGTGAACTCCCAATTCAGAAGATCGTATGAACTAAGGAGCGGAGCACCGGGGGAGTAGTGCATATTCGAGGCGGAATAGTAGAACGTCTCACCGACGCGAATGATATCAAGGTCCGCAAAATCCTCCCAAAATATTGGATTGGAGATCTGGGATACCACTGTGGTAGCCATGCTCATCAATGGCCCCCAGAAGAGAAGATTGGTTTTCATGATGGCTCGTGAAGATGGAATAAAACCAAAAATGCTCTTCTATCTATGGTGCCAATGAAAGTTTGGATGCCTTCTCGGCAAGCGACCAACTGTTTGAGGTAGCGTTTCTCGCCGAGTTTGAGGCCTCCTCTGTGCAAGGAGTCGGCACAGCGCCGTAGGGAGATGAGTATACAATGTATGTACAAAGTTGACCCGCCTAGACAGATGAACGTGGCAACGTTTCATACCCCACGAAACCCCCTCCCATGGCCCGGCGCTAAACTACTGACCCTGATAAAGGTATCTGGTGTATATCACTAGTAACATGGATATAGGCTATTATAGGGTTCAGGTTTAGGCCCGGGGCCCGAACACCGCGGGTCGGACCCTGACCCGTTTCTTGGCGGGTTTTGGGGTTGACAGTCTGAACCTGGAGGTTCCCACGGTACCTATAGTCATTAATAAACCGAGTAACCATAGGAAACATACAGCCTATTTAGAAAGGTCTAGATAATTAAACACTTGTATACTTCGGAGTCAGGAATTTTGTACATTTTCATTGATTCATATACTGAGTAGAGATTTATATAGGGCTTGAAACACTTCCACATGTTAAAAGGCTATATCTTGAATAATGATATGATCATGCTGGTTCTACTGACTTGATTTTGCAATATAGCCTGTTGCCTAGATAAGAGTAATCAAAATACAGCGCCTAGGACTGTCATGTGATCGATTTAGGCCCTTGGCCGAGGTGGATCTTCTAAAAGATCCGTGGCCAGAAAAAGTAAGTCCAACAGGGCAGGGTGCTGAATGCCTTGCAGATCTCTCGGCTGAAGGATTGTTTTGATCCCAGTGAAACGTACACTATGGACGAAAAAGGCAAAAGTCCGGCATGTGCCGATGTAGCCTGCAGTTCTGTCGGCAAAGAGCTCAGGTGTCCATGCCGCTACTATGGATATAATAGAACGCATGAAACACATCCGCGGCTGATTGGTTTCGGATTTTAGCCGGTGCCACAGATGGGGAATTAAATCAGGGATGTATTAGCGCTATAAATTTGGCCTGGTTTCGTCGTTCTAAGTTGCTACAACATTCTCCTTGTGTGTCATTGAATACAGAGTCCACAATGAAACTTGCAAAGAAACTTCTTGACCAAGCCCTGTGTGGCGCAGTATTGCTTTCTTTGGGGCGAGGTGTCGCGGCGCAGTGCGCCCTACCATCGAGCTACAGCTGGACATCAACTGGCGTGCTCGCGGAGCCTAAGTCAGGGTGGGCTTCACTCAAGGACTTCACCAATGTTGTATTCAACGGTCAACATATCGTCTATGCATCAGTCGCCGATACCTCCGGGAACTACGGATCGATGAACTTCAGTCCGTTTAGCGACTGGTCGGAGATGGCTTCGGCAAGCCAGAACGCCATGAACCAGGGGACTGTAGCACCCACACTCTTCTATTTTGCGCCAAAGAACGTCTGGATCCTCGCCTATCAATGGGGCCCGACCTCGTTCTCCTACAAGACCTCCAGTGATCCCACCAACACTAATGGCTGGTCCGCGGCCCAACCTCTCTTCTCGGGAACTATTTCCGACTCCGATACGGGAGTCATCGACCAAACTGTCATTGGTGATGATACGGACATGTATCTCTTCTTTGCAGGCGACAATGGGAAGATCTACCGCGCCAGCATGCCCATCGATAACTTCCCGGGCGATTTTGGTACCGAATCCGAGATCATCCTGAGTGACACGAGAGAGAACCTGTTCGAAGCGGTTCAGGTCTACACGGTCGAGGGCCAGAACCAGTACTTGATGATTGTGGAGGCCATGGGTGCCAACGGACGCTATTTCCGCTCCTTTACGGCGGATAGTCTGGATGGTGAGTGGACTGTCCAGGCGGGCACCGAGAGCCAGCCTTTCGCGGGCAAGGCCAACAGTGGCGCCACCTGGACCAACGATATCAGTCACGGTGATCTGGTTCGCAACAACCCCGATCAGACGATGACTGTGGATCCTTGCAATCTGCAGTTGCTCTACCAGGGACAAGACCCTAACGGCAGTGGCGATTACAACCTGCTGCGGTGGAGGCCTGGTGTCCTAACGCTACAGATGTAAAGTGATGGTTAGTTTATTTGCTGTTGCTAGTGGTGATGATGAGAATTGGAGAGTGTTACTCTTACCTAGCAAATCTTGAACGCTAGATGAGTCGGTCATGGAAGGCTTGCAGCGGAAGGGAGTGGATGGAAGCACCAACAATAGGTTATTCCAATGATTATTTTGTATATATTGCAAATCACTCGTAAGCCGAATTTGATTTCAGTTATCTCTTAGCAATCGTTATACCCATTGACTGTCGATAGGGCTTACTTTTGCCCGTCCATGGTCTCCAAGGTTATGACTTCGGCGGAATCTAAGGATATCCATATTGTGATAGAGCATTGAAATGGTCCACACATGGATTTCACTGTCATTTTACATATAATTGTATAAGGATAGCTTTTACAAGATGTAATGCTAGAATATTTTGGCGTGGCGGCCAAACCGCGTCACTCAGCCGTGGATTACGTTAAAACACATAATCAATTAGGATGAAAGACGAAAAATAACAGCCTTAATACAAGTATCAGGGAAGAGTATAGTTGGCCGACAGAAGACACGAAATAGTTCCTCTCCATCTTCTCCTCCTCCATAATATCATTCCAAAGCAGGTTCAATTAGTCCAACTTAGAACTGAGAGAAGAACTCCCAGATAAGACCAGGGGTAAAAGAATCCGAAGATCCCACATCTGAAGGAAGTGGTACGTGATCGCCATCAAAGGCGACCCACTGGACAGGATAGCCCTCAGCACAACCCGAGTAATCAGTCACAACATGTGTCCCGCTTCCAACCGCCGGCTCAGGAGGAGTCACAGCATCACAGCCATTCACCTGAGCATAGTGATCTCGCAAGGTACGGCCGAGCTCGACACCCAGCACGCTATCGCTAATTCCATGCTGACCAAAGTACGCAATGGGAAGATCTCCGCCATCACAGCCGCTGATTTCAGCACCAGAGAGAACCGCCACAGCGCGGAAGATATCGGCTCGCGAACAGGCCACCGAGTAGCTCATGCCTCCGCCCCAGCTCCAGCCGGTGGCGAAACGGCGGTCCTGGTCAATACAGAAGGAGGACTCTATCGCATCCAGGATTTGGTCGGTAAATGTGATATCGTCACCGTTAGTGTTGGCCCAGCCGTTTCCCAGTCCCTGGGGAGCAATGAAGATGGTGGGTATGTCCCCGGCGAGGTTCCTCATCCCGTAGAATCCGTTTTCGACGACATTGTTCATGGTGCCGTCGCGCCAGTGGTACCCTATCACAAGTTTGTGAGGAGTGCTGGCGTCGTAGTTGTCAGGGACTTGAATGATGTATTCCCGAGGCTGACCGCTGACGTCCATGTAGTTGAGTCCGTTGCTGAGGGATGGGTTTGTGCCGCATCCAGAGGAGCTAGCTGCGGCAGCATGTATGACCAATTCAACCGCTGCAACACAGAAAGAGGCCAAAGTGTGACGCATATTGAGGGAGTAGAGACGTGTCCTTAAGATCAAAATGTGAATGAGGAGCTGTTAGGTCTAAGCGGGTGTTGATCTAGGGGATCGAGAATGAGGATGTGGATTTTCAGTTAAGTGATGCAGGAGGCAGGTTTTCGGCTTCTTTTTATGTCCCCGACTTCCTATTCCGCATACAGTACCACAGTTATCCAGCGCTCAGACTAATAATGTACAATTGATGTCCTTCAACAGTCAATTCTCAAAGTGGCAGGTCCCATACTCCGGCGATCATCAACCACACGCGGGGCGGCATTTGAGGCTAAATTGTTTATCCGAATCAGACTTGGGTAATGAAGTGAATTAGCCGGCTACTTTACAGTTGTATCGGACAGTCCGCACCATAAAAAGCAAGATCGCCGTGGGAGTGTTGTTGATCGATGTGAAAAGTAGGTTCGGCAACGGAGGTCGCCGTTGATTGCCGAAGACATTTAACGTAGTTAGGGTATTCTCGCGCCGACCAAAACCTTAGTAACAACCACCCCCCCTTGCCTCGCATTGAGATCTCTCTACTCTGCAGAAATGCTGGATAATAGCCCTTATTTTGGGGTGATTCGCGTATGTAATCCCCGGGGCAGAGTCAAGGGGATATCGCAGAACCCCACATTGTTGATGACCTCCAACTCCTGACAAGTTTTGCCGCAACGGAGTAAGGATGGCTTCAAAACAGTGAGTTGCACCTCATTCCCCACTGTTGCTTGCTCGAGGTAGCGAGCGCTTGGGTCACAGACTCGATTTGAAACCGGAGTTCGCGAATCGTTTCCGTCGTGGACTTCAAGCTTTCACCCACTTGGTGGAGAGACGTGCTACGCAAACGCAGTGAGCGCAACTGAGCTGAAGGCCATTGACAAAGGACCAGCCATGTTGAATTTGGTTCAGAGTGATGGGAATCACTGAGGACGAGGAGGGGAACGGTCTTGGGACGGGGGAATGTCATGAGAAGTGAATTTTATATTGGGCAGGCGCGCATCCGTGTTGGCCCACCAAGATAGAGGATCTCGCCAATGAGAATGCGTACCTCCATTCCACACCCGAGCCAGACTAAAGCGTTCTGAACTTCTGACAAGGCGCCCACGCACGTCAACCACCCCTCCTTGGAATGACACCACTCTATCTTGATGCCATAATTGGCGCCGACTAACTAGCTATTGTCTTCAGCCTCGTGCTAGTCCATAGAGAGTTAGGGTTGTGATCAGAAAGAGAAGCCTCGGCCGTCGCTGAGCCCAACCATCTCAGAACACGATTCGCTCACGTCGACGATCCTGCACTCGGGCGCTACGCCGCTCGCACAGACCTGGATCCTTTCTGGAGTCCGGCCAACTGAAACGGATTTTGTCAGCACTATCGGCGTGGGTTCCTCTCCCGAGCGACATTTGGGTGGAGCAATTGGCTGAGAAGCCGCCCGCTCAAGTCATTTTCTCAGATCGAGTGTTCTGAACAGCCTCATTTCCCACACCAGATCTGCCCAGGTCACCCACATGAGCGCTTGCCTCTGACGTCTTATAATCAGTCGCCATCGATCCGCTGCGACTGGCGGACAAGTATAAGACCCAGCCTGATCCGCCGCCTTTACGCCGCGCGCAACAAATCGCTGATCCATTATCCTCGGTTATCTTTTCACCCTTACAACACCACCAAAACATGGCAGAACCCATTGGCCTAGCCTCCGGACTGCTCGCCTTAGCGACGTTTGCATTCCAGTCTAGTCTAACCCTTCACGAGACAGTGAATAGTTTCCGGTCTCACACCAAACGCGTCCGCGACCTGGTAGAGGAGCTGGAGGCTTTGAGCGGGGTTCTCGCCCCACTCCGGGAGTTATTAGATACTCCCAGCGATGCAGATCTATCCGCACTCGACTTGCCACTCCTCCGCTGCGGCAATGCGTGCAACGAGTTCGAGCAAGAATTAATCAAGTGCTCGTCCCGGTCCGCGAATAGAACCAGCTTCCGAGACTGGGCCAGGTTGAGATACCTGGGTGACGATATCGATGGCTTCAGACGCATGCTTGCCGGGTACAAGTTGACTATCAATATTGCCCTGACCGATGCGAACCTGTGAGTCTTTGCTGTTTTGTATATACACATCAGCGTTTTTCTGTTTGCTGCCTTTCCATGGCGCTGCGACCCCGTCTACCATTCTTCTATTCGTTTTCTAGGCGTCTGTCGCTAACTTTATATCCAGCCGCAAGAGCTCGGTCAACGCCGAGGCCATTGAAAGCTACAAGGTGCTCATAGAGACGGCCAAAGTCGATCTTGAGTCTCATCTGGAAAGCATCGACGGAAAGCTTGAGGTGATATTTGGGCAAACCGTGACCGCATTTGATTCAGATGCGTTGGAGCTGCGGCGAATCAAGGAGGAGCGGTTGAGCACAGAGAAATGTCTTCAAATATGTGCCCAGTTATCTGCGCACATCGATCAGATTCAGCTCTCAACCAAGCGCAGTGATAGTTCGCCGGGACCAGATGATTCTGACGATTTTCCCGAACGGGTCACCAACGAGGGCTTGGAGGACTGTAAGAATAAACTTGCCGTCACGATTGCCAGGTTGGAAAAGCATATGCAAGACCTGATCGACCGCTTACTGGTGAAATCGAAAGCAGCGATGACGTCGGAAGCCGAAGTGACCGAACTGAAAAGGCTGCGGGATGAGTGGGAAACCGCCCGCCAGTGCATGGACATCTGCTCCAAGGCAGACGACCACCTAAAGGAGAATATCAGCAGCATTCACAACTACGGTGCCGGAGATGCGTTACAATTCATGGTGTCGACGACCGGAAAGACCATTCATGGCACCAACCGAGGAGTGGGGTGGAGAACAAGGCAGGTTGGAGGTCACCTCAGTGATGCATCAGTGCAACAGCTGTCGCGAGATCTGACCAATATCAACTTTCGCGTGATCGAAGCCGACGGCCAGTCTACGCGAGATTATACCAGCACTCTTCATGATCGTAGTGTCGATACTGGATCTAGGGCGGAATTCAAGGAACGCTATGGGCGAGGTTTTACGCTCACCCCCAAACCCGAGACCTTCCAGATGTCGCCAACAGGCTCTCAGTAGCGGATGGGGGATGGACCGGCCCGGTAGTCTAAGGTGGTATGAAGGTACTAGAAGTCACAAGCTTCGCTGGTGGTCTTTACCGATGTATTCTCGTAGTTTCATGATAAATGGCTCCCAAGGTGATGCTTTGGCCTCCACTTGAAGTTTTGATTTATTGTACTGAGCGTTGCATAATTTTTATGACTAGTTCAACATCAACTCCTACCAACTAGCTCATCTCCCTGGAATCGCTTTTCTTAGTTCACGGAATGGTCAAGCCAAGTCATGTTTATGCACGCCAGCGCCAACATCCAGTAGTTTTATATTCATCAGGTGACCTCTACTACGCCCGGTGGTCCCCGGATTGGAATACCATGGTCCAAGATTCGAGCATCCCTTAATTGACCATCCAGGGTTCTTTACAACCGAGGCCAAATCGGGGGAAGGAACAGGTAGTTTAGGACTTCATGGACACCTCAATAGATAGTTCTCCTCGGGCCTTTTGGCCATCTTCTTTATCGAGTAACTTGCTTGGCCTCTGAAGCGAGCAATATTGACTCAACCTGGAGTTTTAGCCAATATCAACATGCCAGAATGCTACGACTGTACTTCCCTCTGCAGAAATGGACTTATCAGCGATTATGTACGAGATAGCACTCGCAGGGTAACTCAGAAACCATGCTCAAGGGATAATGTGAATCTGGTTTTGGCCTCGATGGACGACGCCATGGAATTACGAATGTGTGGAAATTACACACCACTGAACCGATGTTCGAACCCTGCAAATTGAAAGCGTTAGGGCCTCTCGGTGGTAATTCTGCAGCTTTTATATGGGCTAAGAAACAGAGAATGCTCTACATGTTATGGGTCCGCGCGTAGAGTGAGCGAAAGAACAGAGCAATAAGAGGTCCACTGTGATGAAATAAGATAGACCAGTGTCCATCATGGACCTTCCAGACCGATGAATGTGGTTAGGTCGTAATGAATCTGATGGAAGCACTTCATGCTTGGTTTACTGGAGTCACTTCATGCTTGGTTTACTGGAGTGAAATACTCAACGGAAGTTGCAATAAAGTGTGACAGGTAAGAACTCCAATGGCTGATCCGGTTGTAGAAATACTGTTCAGTAACTTCAACTTACGCATTTGCACTTGTAGAATGGTATGAAGAAATCAATGACTTTCTCCGCCTAGTTTCCGTATCAGATATCGAGAAAAGATGCAAGTCAATCTACAACAGGCTTCATTAAATATGAAAGCTCGATTTAGGTATCAATTTAATAGGCCCCTTCACTTGCTTCATTACAGTCCGATCACATCCATGATAAATTGCGGCTGGTTGTTTGCGATAAGCAGAAGCTATACAAAGGTGCATTAAGGGAAGGCGCTAAGCATGTGGATCCTCAATCTCCCCATTAATGATCTTTTCTGGAATCTCAGTCTGCAGAACACCATCCGAGCTTATATACTCAGGCCGTGAATAGATTTCGATAGCATCGGCCCCGATACTCCCGACCGCGTTCCAGAATGTCCAGGCTGATTTGAAGGGAACTCTCCACTTCCACCAGATCGTATCACCAGATACCTCTGCAGGTCCTGGAATCGGGCTGGGACCCCAGCTTGACTTGTCGTATGTATAGTGCATGACTACTGTGCTCTGCGAGGGCGATTTATCGTCAAGCACCGCAAGCCACGAGTCAGAAATACTCGTTGTCTGAGTATCGGTGTGTTGGTCAAGACGTTCTTGGAAGAATCTGCGTAGCTCGGCGTCACGTTTTTCTTCAAAACCGGTGTCAAACTCTTGGACAGGGGCTTCGGTATGCCACTCGTCTAAGGTTTCCTGATTTGGGGTGCGGACTAAACTGAAGATGTTGGATGCATCCTCCGGTATAGCACATTCATTCATCAATCGGTTAATTACCTGGAAATGTTCAGTAGGTGGCCTTGGAGTGTAGCATGGGAGCACGAACGCTGGCGCGGACGTTGGAAGTGCAGAACAGGAGAATGGCGGACATGGTAGGCCTGGCGTGCTTAGCTGATCGTTAAAGGCGTTTTAATTCATACGATAGAAGAAGTGTGTAGATGATAATGAAATAGGCAACCGAGTTGAAAAGAAAGGATGGAGATTAACTGAAGTCATATTGACCAGGTGGAATACGATAGTGCCTGATCGGCCAGGCCAGACCCCCGCTTTCCAGCCCCACGAGAGAGTTAGTCAGCCCAGAGTAGCCCTAACCTGACTGAAGGAGGAAAAGGGGGCCATGTAGAAAGTCCCTGCATGTCAGACACACAGCTGCGCGACTAATTTGGAGAATCACATCAGCTGAGTATGCATTCCACCACGCCACCCCTCCATCTGGTTGGCTCCGTTCTACATAAAATGGTTGCTTTTTCTGTGAAGCACCCATTCCAACCACTGATATAGCCGATTGTCTGAGAGTCCCTTACTTACGACCTTAGCAAACTGAATAAGCTGACGAGCCGTGCAGCAACAACTAGTTCCAGTCCACTGACAGTGCAGCTAGTGTTACATTCAGCCCCCTTGGGGGCGTCATCCGCCTCCACATACTTCCAGCCCCCGGGGCACTATCGATTGACTCGATAGCTAGGAAGTGCAAAGCAATGCGGTTGTATGAACTGAAGTTCATCATGCGGGGCGATAAAAGGTGAACAATTGCCCTCGAGGAATCATCAGAGTCTATTCAAACAATTACACTTTGCTAGTCCCGGTCATCAAACCTTGCTTCCAACATGCTGTTCACCAAGTCCCTCTTGGTATTCGCGCTCTATGTGTTTGGCACTCAGCATGCGCTGGCTGTCCCTGTCAATCCCGAGTCTGAAGTTGCACGCGCTGTAGATGTCTCCCTGAAATCAGGCAGCGGTGATAGCAAAAGCGACCCGATCAAGGCGGACTTGGAGGTCAAAGGTCAAAGCGCTTTGCCATTTGACGTCGATTGCTGGGCTATCCTCTGCAAGGGTGCCCCCAATGTTCTGTATGTCTTCCTCTGCTAAGGCTCCTGATGTGACACATTTGACTAATATATGTCGTATCCCTAGGCAGCGCGTGAACGAGAAGACGAAAAATAGTAATCGCGATCGGAGCGGTGCGAACAAAGGGCCTTTCAAAGATCCTACGAAATGGGGCATCAAAGCCCTTCCACCTAAGACGCCGGCTTGGAGCGCACAGGACTTCAAGTCACCCGAGGAATACGCGTTTGCTTCTTCCCTTCAAGGTGGAACAAAGTATGTTAAACTCACCAGAGCTCCGATCAAAGGATTGTTGGCTGATCAGTTGTGACTAAGTGCCATTCTTGCACCCGTCAACCTCGCTTCTCAGAACTCCCAAGGTGGTGTCCTAAACGGCTTCTACTCGGCGAACAAAGTCGCGCAATTTGATCCTAGCAAGCCCAAGGAGACAAAGGGTACATGGTTTCAGATCACTAAGTTCACTGGCGCTGTTGGGTAAGAATATCCAGTATCCTCACCATATGCGGTTTACTAAAAAAGACACTAGTCCTTACTGTAAGGCTCTGGGGAGCAATGATAAGAGTGTTTGCGATAAGACCAAGAATATCGAAGGGAGCTGGGGCTATGACCCTGCCAAATGGGCATATCAGTATGACGAGAAGAATAACAAGTTCAACTATGTTGGTAAGTAGTCAAGTGGCTTCTATGAGAGAAACAGGCAGTGGATATATATTGCATGCTACTCATTTGGTCTTTTTTCTGTGCAATTGGTATGAGATATTTTGTCTAAAGGTGTTACGAAGGCTCAGTGGCTGTTTGCACAAGCGTTGTGCCCACAAACAATGTATATGAGCTTGAGCTATTCCAATTCCCAAGAGAGTATTAATGGTTGGTTTAAAGAAGTCGGTTTCCATAGTATTCATTGACTAATACTCGCATTAACACGAAAGTACTGTTCAAAATCAACTCAAGAAGTATATGTTCACATATCAGTGCAGACACAGTCTCACCGTGATACAATGGATATTGAGCTACACTTCAGTGCAATTACCTGAATGCAAATCATAAAAACCAGAATAACATAAGATAAGATAAGAAAAAACCACCCATTCATGACTATCAAGCTACATACCAACTAATAAGTCTGAGTATCGACTTTGCTGTAAATTACTGACGTAAGAAAGGTGCGGCGTCTTGGCGCCGTTGGGGATAATCCGTCGTCGTTCAGCCTAACGCGGGGTTGTCCGGACCGCGAGCATGAAATATTTGCGTGTCTACGGGGTGGTAGTAAAATTGGTGAATCTTCTTGAGTCATGAGAAAGTTCAATGAGCTGAGGACTAGAATATCCTCCAAAGCAAGAAGCCAGCATTCCGACGAAGCCAGCCAGGGTGTCAGTCCAAATTCCACGCACACAAATCAAACTGAACAGCGAGCGTCTCAGCGTGTTTCCACAATTGACAATGGCAACAATAGGAAGCTGATTTCAATCCACGAGGGCCTTTGGAATAGAGCTTACAAGGAGCTAAAGGAGAATCCGGCCAAGGAGAAGTACATGAAGGCCTATGAACAACTAGTATCGGACATCTTCTTGAGACGGCCCACCAATGCATCAGCGTGTGCCGAACCCATTCATGGAGTCAAAAGTGATACTGGCAATACACCATGGACCGAAGACCAGCTACAACATATTATTCAGAAAGGGCTGGAGAGAGTCAATGCAAGCCAGAAGCGGATTGACAGCGCGTCCGAGGTCTTCGGGACGGTGCAGAACTTGAAACCCATCTTCAACGCCGTCCTGAGCAACACCCCACATACTGCCCTTCCATGGGCGATCGTTTCCTCCACTATTGACGTAGGAAATCCGTTGAAAGCTTATTTTGAGTTACTGCTAAATCATCTCTCAGATCTTCGCCAACCCAGTTCGATCAACCAAAACTCTGTACGATGGAGTCAACCACGTGGTTGATAGAATGCAGTGGTACTCGAAGATAACCGATAATCTTCTTCGGACTGGTAGCGAGAACGGCCACCCAAAACTCGAAGAGGTCCGCAGGCAGCTAGAGACTGGTATGCTCGATATGTACAAGTGTATGCTGTTTTATGAAATCAAGAGTGTCTGTTTCTACCACAAAAGCCAGGTTGCGGTATTTGTCCGTGGTCTTTTAAATGTCGATGACTGGGATGGGAGCCTGACGAGAATCAATGAACAAGAAAACGCTCTCCGGTCCGACCTGTAGCAATACAAGCTGGAGCAGGTCCTTACAATCCTTGATCAGATGGCTTCCAATAAGAAAACATGCGATAGGCCTGACGACGAGTATCGCGAGTGTCTAAAGTCTTTGGGCGTGGTGAATCCCGTGCTGAGAACCAGGGATATCATAGCACGGAAGAATGAGGTTCTTAAAGACTGTTATAAGTGGGTATTTCAGACGAAATCTTATCAAGATTTCATGGATTGGCAATGTGAGGACACGCCGAATCTGCTATGGATCCAGGGACAAGCGGGCACCGGCAAGACGATGCTTCTAGCTGGGATCATGGAAGAGTTGAATACAATTACCGCTAACTCAGTCGCCCCAACAACTCTACATTTCTTTTTCCAAGACAAGGACGACCAGGTTGATCAGAGTTTGATGGCAGTGAAGAGCCTTCTATGGTTATTGCTGAGTCAATACCCGTATCTCGTGCAATATGTCCATCGGGAGGCACAGGGTTCCCAGGGGAATTTATTCAACGGGGAATATGCCTTTACTGTGACTTGTGATGTGATAAAAACAATGCTCCAAGATGATAAGATCGACCCAGTTATCATTCTACTCGATGGTCTGGATGAATGTGAGTATAAGGCTAGGACAAGGCTAATTAATTTTCTTGGATCATTGCTACAGTTAAACTCAGGAGGCAATGTGAAGGTCAAGGTGCTCATATCAAGTCGTCCTCTAGAAGAGATAAAAACGGCAGTAAATAGCATCAAGTCAGCAACACCAAAGGCTACCCTTGAGGTTGACAATATTTCACTTGAGGAACCTATAACCGCTTTTATCGAATGGAACATTGATCGATTAGAAGAGTCTACCGAAGATAAAATACTTCTACTTACAATCAGGAGGGAGCTGCGCAAACGGGCAAGCAATACCTTCCTCTGGGTTTCACTGGTGTGCCAAGAGCTCAACCATTACGGACTCCATATGTGGGAGAATATCCTTGATGAAATTCCCAATGGTCTTGTAGAACTTTACGACAAGCTTCTTGCCAGGTTAGAAGGGTCAAAATACAAGCGTCATGTTCAAACTTGCAAGATGATTCTTACCATTTCAATATTGGCACGTCGCCCATTGAGCCTTGGTGAATTGGCATTGCTTGCTCATATAGGGGAAGGTATGATGCGATCTATTGTTCATGACTGCAGGTCATTCCTCGCTATCCAGGGAGATACAGTCTATCTGTTCCATCAATCCGTCCAGGATTACCTGCAAGATAACTACAACCGACTGCAAGACAAGCCTCGCGAATACATCCACCAATCAATCTTCAACTTGTCATTGAAAGCCATGGAAAACAAATTACAAAGAAACATATATAAGCTCCCCTACGCAGGATCCACCTTCGATGAGAACCGTCTCCCAGATCCAGACCCACTATGTGCGATTCGATATTCATGTCGCTTTTGGGTATACCACCTGAAGCACAGCGACTCCATGTACGATGCAGGTGATATGATTTACTCGTTCTTCCGAAAGCATTTCCTCCACTGGCTAGAAGCCATGAATCTCATGCGTATGATGCCCGGTAGCATCGAGATGATGGACAACCTGAAACCACTAACCACTGTAAGTTTCTCTTTCACCCTACTCATTCCAATGGTTGCGCTGATATCATAAAGTCACATTCTATGCTGCACGAGTTTCTTCAGGACGCAAAAAGGTTTACGTTAAAAACCCAGGCCATCGCGAGTACTGCCCCGCTACAGCTTTATAGCTCTGGCCTTCTATTCTCACCTCAGTCTAGCATTATCCGACAAGAGTTTTAAAAGGAAATTCCCGCCTGGATAACAAGACACCCTTCGGTTGAGACGCAGTGGGGTGCAGTTTTACAGTCATTAGACCACCCCGCCGAAGTACGCTTTGCATGCTTCTCGCCCGATGGTCGATTCCTAGCATCTAGCTCTTGGGATGGTCCAAACTACAGCGTTATAAATGTATATGATTCAAACACAGGGGAACTAAAGCAAAAACTGAAATTTTCCGACTCTTTGAGCTCGTTAGCGTTCTCGCCAGACAGCCAACGTCTAGCTGCGACATGCTGGGACAACTGGGTCAGGGTTTGGGACACCGTGACATGGGCCGAAACAGAGATTTCTCATCAATACGAAAGGTCCATAGCAGGGTTTACTTCAAGAAGCGAGCTTCTGGTCTCTACGGCCGGGTTCTCGACACTTTCAATATGGGATATAAACGCATCTGCATCCTCCCCGAAGATCAAGATTGAGACAGGTGCGGAAATTGGAAGAGTGATATTTTCACCTGATTTTCAGCTGCTCGCTCACACTGGACGGGATAAAACTATCAAGATTTGGAGGTCTTCAACCGGTACGCTTAAGCAAACTCTCGTGAACCAATTAGGTGGCATCGAAGATGTCTTGGCCATTTCCCCTGCAAATGACATGCTCATCTTGGGATCTCACAAATCCTTGCGATTATGGAAGATAGCAACTCAGGAGCTGGCCTTCATCTTCCCATATAGCGGGTCAGTCAAAGCAGTAGCTTTCTGCAGAGACGGCAGTTTAGTTGCATCAGGGTGTTCAGATTATATCATCCGGCTGTGGAACGCACGATCAGGACACCTAGAGCACATCTTACAAGGACATGGATCCATACCAATCTGTTTGTCCTTTTCAGTAGATGGCCAAGTGTTGGCATCTGGCTCACGGGATCTCACCCTTAAGCTCTGGGACCTAGCGCAAGGGACATGGGATCCAGCAGGGGATTCCCAACGGAAACACCCCCAAGAACTGGACAGCCACTTGGATATGATCGCTGCCATCGACATTTCCCCTGACGAGCAACAGGTCGCAGCAGGATCTTGGGGCGGCTTGGTTACCCTATGGGATTTGAAAACAGGAAATTTGCAACATACTTTAAAGCAGACAACGTCTTGTACAACTTTAGTGTTCACGCCAGATAGCCAGCAGGTAGTATGGGGAGGCTTTGACTACGGAAGCCACGTGTGTAATGCGAAAAGCGGGAGTTATGAGGGGCAAACAGTGAAACGTCCGGCTCTAGTGCGTCTACAGCGCGAGCCCTCAACATGCAAGCCTGAGGTGCTGTTCGATAATGGATGGGTGGTAGCAGCCAGTAGAGGACAGAGAATTCTATGGCTGCCACCTGAACATCGTCCCGCCTATTGGGTCGATTGGAAATGCATTGAATATGGCAATATGCTGATCTGCGGAACTGATAAAGGCCAAGTCCATTTCTATGAGTTTCAGGTGGAGGGTGATTTGGCCTGATACTTTTATTCCATAGATTAATGGTGGTATTACTATGTATCCTCCCTCGAAAAGCAGACCTCTGACACTGCACTCTTGGTTCTCTAAATGGTGGGTGTCATACTAAAAACCCCAACATAGACGAATCATAGATATTGTTCATGCAAGTTGTAATAAGAGCACGGCTTCAAATAGATCAAACTCAGCCAATTCTGACAATTCAGATGTTTCATCTGCAATCCCTAGAAGGCTTCCTCGGAAGAACGTATGATTCAATATTTGAAACCTCAGTATTCACAAGCATAACAATTTTTAGTTCTGACTGGTATGATTTTAACAGTCTTGATAAGAGGATGGCTATTCTCAACATATATTCATAAAATCCTTGCTAAGTTGCCACTGGCGGCTGTTACCCCAGCTTTGACAAAACTTCAGCTCGGTGTTCTGGCTATTGGCTTCGCGAGCTGACCCTCCCTAGGCGTCTTGCCAGTTCGACCATTTATAGTAACGTCTGCAGAGAAGAGCAGAGACCCGACAATTTGCAAATGAACTGGTCCACTTTCCTAAGGTCTCGCTAAACATCCATGACAGGAGACAGTGCTTCCCACAGTGCACACCGATCCTTTTGCGTTCCTGGGATGACCTCCGTTGCCGTCTGATTTGTCTGTATCTTCAACCTCTCTCCTGCGCCCCATGGCATCCAGTAAGGTGCACCCTCAGCTCTGAAACTGTTAGGATCCAACGTTTTCACAAAGCTGATATAATAATTCATGACAATAGGAACAATTCCGGCATTGATGTTAGTAATGCTGCTGCTAAGTCCGCCCCCGTAGCCCGGTCCAAAAATGGCCTCTGTCTCGAAGGTATGCGGGACTCCCAGGCCCTTGTTCAGCGTTTCGGGATCCTGGACATTATATCGATAGCTCCAAACCTTCTCACCACCCACCAGGTAAGCCCTTGTCATTTGAGTGCTCATATGAATGCCTGGACAGGTGAAGACAGCATCTCCAAACGCGGCGGAGGCAGCAGGGAAGTATTCTGCATGTAGCGGAATGGACTCCATACCCTGATAAGCACGATTGATCGACTGTAGTTGGTTTGAGCTTAGACTAGGGTAGAGACTAGTCAAGGACTCGGATACATCGGCCGGACTCGTGGCATTGTATGCGAAGTTGGAGCCTTCGTCGGTATCTCCGCCAACAATCAAAGGAACACGGATGAATTTCTCCTGTGCAAATAGAGGATATAGACGGTCCTGGATGAGAGTCCCGTCGACAACTGGGACGAAATCCCAAAAGGAGGGCGTTGTACGTGTGGGATCTGTCGGATCTGGTGAAGTAGCCTGTGCTTTCTGAATGACGGTGATGTTGGCAGACCGCAAACACGACATCGTCGAGCATCCGACAGCCTCCATGAATTGACTACACTGTGCCTCGGACTCAGACCTATCCCGTTGAGCAGGTCAGAACGGACTCTCAGCCACTGCCCCAATGAAAAGATCATCATTGCGGCCCCCATATGCTGCAAGATGGTAGGCCACCGAGCCGGCGCCGGCCGACGCACCATGAATGACAACATGATTTGGGTTACCACCAAACTGGGGTTTGTCAGATTAAAGTTATATAACTCGAAACTATAATGATTCTGTTTCCTTACTAGATGAATGTGCTTCTGTACCCATTGTAGGGCTTTTCGCTGATCAAGCAAGCCGACATTGAGGTCACCATCTTGCTGGACCTTTTGACCAGCTAGAAAGCCCAATGCCCCCACACGGTAGTTGAAGTTGACCAATATAATTCCATGTCCGGATTCCTGGATCACCTGGGTGCCATTGTAGTTTGCATTTGAATTTGTCGCATATGCACCGCCTTGGATATACACCCAGACAGGGAGGTCGGATCCTGGTGTAGCATTGGATGGGGTGAAAACGTTGATGAAGAGACAATCTTCGGCTGTGTCTTCAGTGACATTCTGGCCGGTACCGACACATACTGGGCCAAACTATCAGAGAAATTAACAGCCTGTCTTTGTGAAAAACCTTCACCCTCTTACCACCGATGCATCCTGGACGGAAGACGTTCGCATGGGCTCTTGAGGGGCCCGAAAGCGAAGCCCTGCTAGCGGCGGTGCTGCATATCGCATGCCCAGATATTGATCTACTCCTGCCGGGAGTCTCGTCCCTTGGTATTGGGCATAGTCAAGGCTGACCGTCGGCCGGGGTGGATTACTTGGGGCAGCATTTTGGAGCTCAACCAAACAGGTTAATAAAGCGGACAAATAGATAACCAGCCTCATTTTTCCCCCAGGACACTTTATCTAAGGACGTGAAATACTTGGTGCCACAGCACTATTTATCCAGGCGGCGGGGTGTTGCCGAACGATCCATGCCATTGTAGGGCCTTGGGCTTATATAGCATTACCATGATGAATTTTTCCTTGGAGCGGTTTCATGCGGGGACAGTAGTAGGGTAAACTATCAGGTGGAGTTTACCATACTCCATTAAAGGCAGCAGATGGCAACTGTCACGGAAAAATTCCTTCCACGCGGCTAGCGTAGAAGTTCTAGCTTTTTCACTCTCGCTCTTTCATCGTGGGTTGTTTCAGAGCATTATCCATTCAGGCACAAGGTTACAGGGTCTCTATCGCTATGTACTTCATGATAGAGGGGAAATTGTATGCAACGCACGCGAGAGCGATGATGATTAGAGTGACGCTGTATCAGCAACATATCAGCATCAACAGCCCCGCAGGCTTCCCCGCAAGCATCCCGGGATAATTCGAACCGAGATCCTTTCGGATTGATTTACGTTATCTCTGGCTTGTGCTTTCCGGGTCACTACAGTCGGGTATTCTGTCTTCTTGGTCAAAGCCAACGGTAGTAGATATCGTTGAATCTCTCGAGGGAGGACAGGTCCTGTCTCCACCCAGTTACAAGCCCAAACCTTTGAATGGGTACGGCTTTTAGTGGGGCTGTCCGCAGTCCATGGAGAAACTTAGGTTGTTTACGGTCGCGTGATTCATTCAAGCCCTAAGCCCTAGCTTAGCGTTAGTATAGATGGACTATACTGAATCCACCCGCAAGGATCTGTACAAACAAGGTGAGGTTCCAGTTTCCATACATATTAATGGTTTTAAGGCTTGAATTTAGCATATATATCTGAATATACAATCCATATTTAATATTGTGATTGACATACTAAGCTAATTAAGACATCTTCCATACGTTCCTTAATGTGCGGTATACCCCGAGTCAAACTATATATATACTCGGCTGTCATAAAGCGTAAAAGCAATAGCGACCAGTACTAATCTCTATATAACATTCTTGTGTATATGAATAATATAGATTTATCATGGCTGAAAATCTTGGACTAAGTACCATTAGATTTGCGTCATGCTCTTACACCGTAATTTATCTATTTCGGGAATTAGATGTTGTTCCGGGTTTGTAACCTGCGGATGCTGGGTCTAGATTTTATAACCGCACCGCTGCGGGTTTGGTGCGGGTTTGCGGGGATTGGGAACTATCCAGGTCTAAACCATTGGCTTTCTGGTTGAATGGCAGAGCACGCTGATCAAGATGTTCCGAATTTCTCGTGGTATGGCTAAGGATGAGAACTCTTGTGTATATAAAAATTTCTTTCCTTGCCTTGGAGAGAGAAAACAAAACGCCAGGGATGCAAAAGATCTTCAACGCAATAGCCGTCCGGACATAGAGACAAGCAGGTTGAACTTTACGCGAGTAAACTACTATGTAAATGAGAAGGATACGTGAAGATGAAACCACCAAAGAGTCAGCCGCTAGACTGTAAACAGATCTTCATTGACAACCGTGACAACCGCCTTCTAAAAGTATGGATGTAATGTAAGTCCGTATTGTCAGTACATATCAAAAGTGAGCCCTGTTCGAACGGTTCCCGGGGCCCGCTTTTTGCTCTGTTGGTTCACGTTTCTGTCCTTGATAAGATGAGAGTCTCGCTCAGAACACCCATGATACGCCCGCTACATTGAAGTACCAGACTCTCCGTGCTATGAATTTTGGCCTTCATTCCGCCAATGTCTCTATCTGTGTCAAGAGTTACTGCAAACACTACTGTTATGACGCCACCGCTGTTGCATACATCATACAGCTTTTGTGGAGCTATACTTCGTGATATGAGTAATTTCGCTAGCCACCATGGTAAGAATATCTCTCTTGGAGGTTCCAATAACAGAATACATTATTTTATTATACCTCCGTGATGTCGGTGCTGGTGGATGTTCTCTGATATTCTTGGCATCAACTATTCCTATTATGGAAACCCAGATGTCGGCAGAGTGGAAGGACGAGTACCCGCCACGCAGGGCAGAGATGACAATGTAGCACGTATCTAAGTCCAATGGACCTAGTTAGTATATATTAGGTTATAATATTGAGCCAAAAGTAAGTAGAAGTCTACATGGACCAGTCTTGAAGAGTTCATACGATCGACGAATCCGCGTCACGGGCTCAAGGCGGAAGCGGGTGACAGCCAATCACAAGGCAGGACCCAGCCCTAGGCGAAGCGGGCCGTCATGTGACGCACACAACTCAATCTTTTCGGCCACAAAAGAATCTGTTGGACTTTGAAGCTTTCCGACGACGACCCCAACGACAACCGTACTGAGCCCTTTCACGATCCCTTTTAGGAGGCTCTGTCAAGATGACTGTCCAGAACCACAGTACGTGATTCCTTGAATTTCGATCCGCCGATATCTCTATATCCTCCCAATCGCTGTCTCGTGGTATCCGGGTGGAGAGTCTGCATGGTCCGAGTATGCTGATGAATCGTTCTTCAGGTTTGGCCTCTTCCCGCCGGAAGTCGCGCAAGGCGCACTTCAACGCTGGCTCCGGTGAGCGCCGTGTCATCATGAGCGCCCCTCTCAGCAAGGAACTCCGTGAGAAGTACAATGTATGTTCGAACAACACCGAAAACGATCTGCAAACCCCTTGAAGAAGTCGGAATGGATTTGGCATGAACCCTCTCTCCTCAGTCGGGATTGGGCTCGCTCACCCACTGGATCTGGGATGGAGATGGGAGGAAAGCAACACCAACGACATGAAACTTGGGATGAAGCAGGAAGAATACAAGGAGTACAGTTCTGACGCAGTCCTCGATAGGTCCGCTCTCTCCCCATCCGCAAGGACGACGAGGTCACCATTGTCCGTGGAGGCCAGAAGGGCCGTGAGGGCAAGATCACCAGCGTTTACCGTCTTAAGTGGGTTGTCCACGTCGAGCGTGTCGTCCGCGAGAAGTCCAACGGCCAGAGCGTTCCCCTCGGCATCCACCCCTCCAAGGTCGTCATCTCCAAGCTCCACCTCGACAAGGACCGTGAGCAGATCCTGGAGCGCATCGGAAAGGGACGTGAGGCCGCCAAGGCCAAGTCTGCTTAAAGGGTTTTGTCCGGGGTTTAAGTTCATGTTGCAATGGCGGTGACGGCGCTGGAGTTCTGAAAGACTCGCAAATGCGAGATCCAACCTCCTATGATCAGGATACATCTGCTGGAATGAAAAACGAAAAAATCTACTTCCTCGGTTCATGGTCTGCGCCACGGGTTTTTAAGCCGTAGTGTTGGACTGTTTCCCCTATAAGCGTATCTAGGGATAATTTACCGGCAACGACTCGATTGTCGGAAGGCTGTTTTCCTTTTTGTTCATTGGGTTCCATGACCACCGATTACTGTTCGATCTTCCCTCGTAGCGAGGCCCCTTCATTTCGTTCCCTTTCGGCGTTACCGTTCGGGGACCAGAACGTGGCGCCGAAATATCTTGCCAATCCCGTTTGAACCGGCCCAATAGTGGTGCAGGTGAACGAAATACGTAGAGGAATGGTGGTGGAATCATACTCTGTAGTCACCAACCAGTCCGATTTTGATGGTGTCCTTTTTGAATCGTGAGGCATGAGGGCACATCACTTGAGGCGCCTTGCATATCTAGATCGCTTCTGTAGACCGAATTCAGTTTTCATGGCACCATCTGCACACAGACTATTTCTAGGTCACAAGTGGACCTTAGTCTTTGAAAATATAAATATCTATTCATGGAAGTGTTGGGCCCTTAGCCAATGTGAATGGACTAAAGTTGTCTATTTATATATCTCAGTGGCTCCGCTGATATTGGAGTTGATCAAATGCAGTTAAGCCACACAAGAGATTGTCCTCGAATGTTTGCGTCAATAACTACCGGACCGTGTCTACCATTACATAGAGACGAATAGCTACTTTGCATCGCAAAGTCTGATGATCGCATAGGGGAAATCCACGTTCATTTGACTTTCAGGAACCTGATAATATCGCTACCGCCTTTGGGCTCCGCCTTCTTTTATGGGCAACTTAGTGGCAGAACTCAGCTTACATCTCTTCTATAAAATGAGAAGTACCAGAAACCTCTGCGAATGCCGGTAATTATACATTTATATTGGACCCCGCTGGCTTACAAAATAGATACTCTGCCAAGCTTTCACCTTGACGGCTTTTTGAACATGTTCTTGTCATCATTCCAATCGTATCGAACCAGTAATCTTATGGTCACGTGAGAGGCAACTAAACTATGCCTGGATATTTTCGCATGTTCTTAAGCGAAATTTCCTCGGTAGGCCAACCAACTCACCGCCAGGTGTCGTTCAGACTCGCTCTAAAGGATGCCAGAGCAAGTTTAGTCTGGTCATCTGTGACTGGAGGTATAATTGGAGTGATGATATCTGTGATATTTCTCAGCATCACTGTTACTTCGCATCAGATGCCTTGAGACTAGAAGTATAGAGGTGGACTGGTTATTATCTCGCACTATTGATTAGGGTGTCACACTGTCGTTGTTTCTACAGAATCCATGCTCTGTTAGACAACTAAACCAGCCTGAGCCCAGTTTTTGGTTACAGATCCCTCCTATTTCGTACTCTGTCTTAGCAGAGATAGCGAGGATCGCGCGGTAGAACCTCCCCGCTTTCGTGATTATTTGAAAGATTTAGCTGTTAAGCTCCGTAGCTTCGGCCGTGGTCTTGACTAGTGTTCTATACACTTCCCAGTCACATACCTCTTTGAGCTGTTAACTGTGAGGATCTTAGTACAGAGTAGGGTCTGCGAATGACAGTCTCGCGGTGCCCATATCCATCCTTCCACATAGGCGGTGTTGTATTTTATGCGAACCGATTTGGTTTGACTGTATTTTGCAATTCCGTCCCGGATTCATAGCTCGCCGCAAACCTGAGATACTGAAAAAGCTCACTACTGATCTATGATTATTACTGAGCACTATCTTGGGCAGCGTTTGGAATGCTGACTGACTTCCCAAATGGATACCCAAGGTTTGCTCTCGTGGCCTTGGTTGCCAATGCCTCCCGCATCGCGGACAAGTCATGGCTCCCTAAGCCTAAGCCGCCGAGGATACGCCACATGGACGTGGAAGACTATTTCATCGGGACCGATACCAGAGCTTGCCTCACGAGCTCTGTAGCGCGTGTGGTTTTGTCCTCGATATCTTCAGGGCTGATGTCAGTGAACCTCTTTGGGAAGGTTCCAGATTGGGAAACAAAGGAAAGGCTAAATCTTCACGCGTGTTTCTGTCAGGAAGTATGTACAAGATATACTACTCCCAATCTACTACTCCGAGATACTGCTGTCTTGTATATATGATGCCCCTTGCAGTAGGATTGACTATTCCGTCAAGGATATGCCAATGTTACGTAGAGATCTGACATGTCAACATCAGCCCCTGAAGTGTAATTCTATGGCTAGCATATAATAACCGAGAACTTTTTCCTAGTTCTGACATGTTCTAGTCATTTGACTACTCCGGATTAGTTAGTAACTGTGGGCCTTATTAGTTGGGCAGCGTGACTTGTATGTTGATTCAATGTGAAAGCATTTACTCCGTACATCTACATGGAATATAAGGTCCTCTAAACTCCACTTCGTCATAAACTAGAGGCAACTAGTAGGTGAAAAGTACGATTTTCTTTTTCTACTAGGCAACACAACCGGGTACCTGCAGACTATTGGCACTTTATTGCACAGATTATTACTATTATGTGATAGATAACAACACCGCCGATCATATTTATTTTGCAGAGTAGATTTTCTAACCGGGGTTTTATTATTGCATATTGAATACTTGTCACTTTTTGCACCAATGTAGTTGTTATGCATATCACAACCCAGGATCTGAAAAGTATACTAAAACAAGAGAAGTAAAAAAGGAAAGGTATAAGAAGGAAGAATACTCCCACGTACATTGTGACTGTCACATCCTTGAAAAATCTCAATTTCCATCATCAGACGAGGCCTAAACTTTTTTGCAATTACGTTGTACCGTTCAAATTCAGCTCCTCAGAATGAAGTTTTTGCAACACCTCCTTCCCTTGGCTGTGGCATTCCTGCCCATGGCCAATGCACACCAAGATCCCGTGAGTAATTCATTCGAAGGAGTAACTCCCAAGCACAAATCTAAACAAGTGACTATAGGAAATGATTCAACATGTTGAGCTGAATGTCGACCCCAGTCCACCATCCTTGATCTACAACAATCCTGTCGGTGGCGCCGGTGGAAAGGACTTTTCCGTCGTTGGCGAACCCTCTGAGACAATTGATACCCTCCAGTTCTGGGTCGGGGATGGCGCTGGTCAGCCCAAAGTACTCCGGGGGCTCCAAATCACCTGGTCCGGCAATCGGAAGAGCGCAGTCTACGGAACAGCGACGGATGAGTCCCAGTCATTCAAGTTCGAGCCAGGTGAAACCATCACGGAGATGCAAGTCGCTGGGGGGTTGCGCGCGGATAGCATATCTTTCACAACAACATCCCGCTCGTTCTTTGCTGGAGGTCCGGGAGGAAAGAAAGTTACGATGAATGTGGGCAGCGGCATACTTGTTGGTTTCCAAGGAGGCGCGGCGAGGGACATTGATCGCCTTGGGCCTATCTTTGCACAAGTCCAGGGTCCTACTTTGACAGTCGAGCAGTGCATGGACTGTGATGAGTCGTGAGGGGTTATGGGCTTGGGGGAAACATTTGGGAATTGACATAGCTATAGTGCGAGGGAATACAGTGTGTACTAATTAGTTAAAGTAACAATTATGCAAGTTCGAGTTAAGTTCCTTTGCCAAGCCCCCGACAACACCGTTGCACTATAGGACTGAGGGTATAAGGAGATTTCATCCGGACCAGGCAAGTAGAAGGACTAATTGCTTGGGCAGGTTGACAATATACCAGTCAAGAAGGCATGTAGGGCAAACTAGGACTACGTGCGACCTTTGCGAGGTGTGGCGCAGCAGTATCTTTGCCTTAAGCACAGCCTCGTCAATCTTTTATTGGCCTCGCCTACGCAGACTCTAGAGCACTAAAACAAATATCCAGCTATCAGATGACATTATCCTACTACTGACTTAAACCTCCTCACGGTCATGGCAGCAGTGACATCCCAGTTTCCTCGCTTCACAAGCCTCCCTCCGGAGCTGCGCTACCTTATATGGCGTTGTGCACTGCCGGACAACGTTGGCCAAGTCCTGTTCCCCTATAAAAAGGGATGTTGGTGCCCTCGGTACTTGTCGGAATCTGACGAAGTATATACCGAATGGTGTAGTATAGTATTCGAGTTCCGGCACGATTTATTAGACTCAATCCAGTTTGATGTACCACTAGTCTTCGTCAACCGAGAATCCCGGGCCGTCGCCTTAGCTTGGGTTCGAAAAATGGGTATCCAGATGCGCTTTCATAAGGACAAGCAGTCCTTCGTCTTCGTGCGACAGCTAGACCCAGCGCGTGACGTGCTATACCTTCCATTTGACAAGGTAGATGAATTCATACTCGAGCCTATCGATCGCCAATTCGAGCCAGATCTTGTCGGCCGGATGGTGGACGTGCAGCCAAACGTCAGGCACATCGCCATTCCAGAGGCGCTGTTGCAGAGCGACCCAGCTGCAATACGCGAGATATTTGATTCATTCTATCATCCAGAGGTATTCTTTATTATAATAGATGCGCAGCCCGATTGGAACGAAAGCAACACGAAGGTACACCAACGATGGGAGCTCGATATCACGCAGGGAAGAGGTTTCTTCTGGAATTCCGAGCATGGCCACTTTGACTATAGCATTGGACTGCCAATGGAAGATGAAATCCTATGTCAGAGGATAGAGCGAGCTGTAAAAGACTTTGGGTCATTATTCATGGGAAGCGATCTTGTGGACGGCTTCGAGATTCGGCCTGTCTTCGCTGTTAGAAAATAAAAGATGAGGGGGTTTTGTGTGCTGTCTTGCTTTGAATTTTTCTTGCCCCCAGCGTTCTTGTGTATGCCGAAGTAAACATATCTTAAACTATGAGAAGTATTTGTAGAAAAAAGGAGAATGAGCGCTTTTTCCAAGGCCTATTGGAATGCAACCTCACAATGACTTCGAAGATAACCTTCGAGGTTCTAGCTCCTATATAGCTAGGCTCATCCTGAACAAAGGTGGCCTAGAAGTTAAAGCACAATGACTTATAGATCAGCTCTTTATATTGCTGTTTTCATGCGTTGTATACAAGGCATAGCACAGAATGCCCGGCTATACTCTCCAAGTCACCCCTCCCATAGATCACATATCTTCTTCTGACCATACCTGGTCAAATGCAGTACGTGTCACGGTCATTGACTTGCGCCTCTGTGCCATTCTAGCAGGGCTACAGCTTCGAATATGACATCTAGAGCAGGTTTCTCTGTCAAACACTATGATATTGTGCTGAAAGTGTCCGTTCAAGTTGGGGAATCATAGCTAGAGGACCTCCTCAACCCCCACATGACATGTAGAGATTATAGTGGCACCTATTAGAGAGCGAGACTCAGCGAGTGATGCATCCATATTCATGATGCCTTTGAGCTATGAGAAACATCTGAACCTGTTGCACGTCACATTAATGGATTATCATGTTGAAGGTAGAGGCTCGCTCGAATTATACTAGCCATGAATTAATCATTTCAGTGGGGAGGTGATCGGTGTGTGGATGGATTGTTTGTATTATTTTCTATTGGAACGGGGCATTCTCATCGGGAGACGGAGTTTCGTCTCGATGAATATGGCGCATACCCATGAACATGTTAATCGGGTATTAGGGACCCTGCGCGAGTTTGTGGACGAGTTTGAAATGGGTTCAGGGGTGAGTTCGGTATCGTAGGGTTGTGCTTATTTGTTAGAGCTTTCAGTATGTCTTTGCTCTATGTTTTGTTATTGGAATACTTTTGACATGCCTGCCACATAATAGTCATACCGATTGGGAAGAGACAGGCTAACGAATTAGCCCGTATAATACTGTCCAGAAATATTGTATGCTGATCATTCTATAGCTAGCGGAAATGTTCTTTCGGTTCACACCGAATTCGCATTTAGTTCAATTATCTTCAAGTTATCAGTCCAAAGGTACTATACACCATATCCTTTCGTACAGAATTGAAAAGGCCATGGCAGCCCTTAAAACGAGCTTTATCTCACAAATTCATAACTCTGAGAAACGGTAACCTCTTTACGTATCCCAAGGCGATCAGAATGGTTCTTCCGTTGAGAATGCAGACTAGTCAACGATCCCTCAGGCGCCTCAGCACATCCAGCAATAGAGATGAGGTGCGTCTGGTCATTCTGCTGGGTTTGAAAGGAGTTCGTGTGGTTGTGATTTCTGGAAGCAAAAGTCTTCTTCCAGTTGCCGAGCTCATGGCTACGCAGATAACTGCCACTATTGGCGTTGCTGTTCTTGTCCTTAACAGAGATGACATATGCGCTCAACGAGGGCAGACACGCGCAGATTAGCCCGATAGCGGCTTCAGCGTTTCTACATGATAGTTAGTTTGAATGCTAACTGCTAATGATGAGAAGGATAAGTCTCACGCTGTCAACACAACATGGACCCAGGCCCATGTTATGTCTGTTGTTGGGGCATCCTTGACCATTATCACTAATCGCCAGACACTGAATGCAGTTGCTATCCCGCCCGCGCTCAAAATGCCGATGACTCGGAGCTTTTTGAAGGTCGACATGTGCAGTGACCACAGCAGCGGTACCGGTAGGATCAGGATCCACAGGTCGCTAGCAATACTGATGGCTGAATCGGCGATAATGACCTTCCGCTGGTCCATGCAGGTCCCGCCGTCATTTGTCCCGTACCAATATGCCGAAATGGGTTTGCAGAAAAACACTTTGATGAACAAGGCTGGGATATAGTAGAGCAAGAGCACAATCAGGCTGATGCGAATGACGAGGACCTTGCGATGGTCGGGGGCGAAAATCCGTAGCAGGATGGAGAGCAGGGCGAGCTTGACAACATATGCCATGGGCACGTAGATGATGGTGATTGCATAGGATGCCTTCGCTCGTATGTTCGTTAGTGACTGTTGCTGTTTTAATCATAAGGGTGGGATTTGGAGATGGCTGGGCTAATTACCTTCTGGAATTCGACAAAGTCACTCTTTGGGACATCCCATCCATGATATCCACCCCCATATGCGTTTACTACTTCTGTTATGTATTTTTTTCCACGTTGCGCTTTTCCATGGGAATAGAAGCAGACGTACACACAAGCATATTCACACAGAATCCAACGAAGAGTATCTGTTGTTGGGCCTCAGTATGTGGTCAACTCGACTCAGGTATAAAAGAGGTCATACACATCCTGCAACAGCCGTATCTATAAGATAACATTCAGCAATATCAGCATGATAGATTATACATTGTACAAGGGAAGCACGTCACTAACAGTCTTCCCATTCCAGCTTCTTTCGAAGGCGCAACTTCATAATTATGCGCAATGCCACAGCCACTGTCACAACGATGATACACAAGAGTTGTGTTGCCAGGTTGACTGTGTGGAGGACGTCGGTCGGATGTGCGAAATTGGAGGTGATCCCTGGAGGGGGAGGGATCACTGGTTCTACAGTCATATCAGATTGGCAAGACTGTCAATATCTCTAGATGACGACGAGTATACAGGGGCGTGTCAAGTCGTCGGTAAAAATATTGGTGGCCATAGTCTCCGACAAAGACAAGCCTATTAACTCAGACCATCGTCCACGAAGCAAACGATGACCAGAAGATTTTTTCGAATATGGTATGAGAGGATGGGAGATGAACTACGAAAATAGATATCAGTGGGTCCATCGCATCTCATGCATCAAAAGCCACTAACACCACCCAAAGGGGCACTGTGATGCCTCTGTCTTTGTAATAATTTGTGCCCTTCCGTGAACACGTTTCAGATAAGGAATTAGGAGAACGATCTGGTGACCAAATACGCTAGATCCATTGCGTTTTACCTATTCGCCTTGGATTGCAGGGACCCGTCCCAACGGCCCTTGCCCGACACCGGAAAGCATGGAACGGATACTTAAATGCCTAGCTATGGCAGCTCTTCAGGCTTAAGGATTCTCGGTTGAATAATGCATTGCCAAACAGGACCTGCGCGGGTGGAGCCAAAAGGAGGTAACGGTTTGATCGACCTGATTCCACAAGGGACAGACTCTGATTCAGCCTTAACTTGGCACTTATCTACGGTTATTTAAGCGTTAATATTACGTTACTCAATGCGATTATCTAGTGTTTAGGCTGAGTTTGATCCGTCATCCACAGGCGATGTAACGCTAACGCAGATGGTCAGTGTGTCTGCAAGGTATCTTCAACGGAAATGTTTTCCATTACTCAATCTTTCGTAATACCATCAAGGTACATGTTCATCCTCGTCGATTATACCAGTTTAGTGCGGTTTAAGAGACAAATCCATGGTTACATTCTGTGACGGGTCGGTGGAGTCGTGAAGGATTCGACGTGGAAATTAATCAATAACGTCTGTCGTGGAACTCCATACGCTTCATACGCTCCATCCGTACTCATGAACTGTTATTTGTCTCGTGTATAGTGGGGCGTGTGATTGACTCGTCGTACTATAGTCGGTCAACAGTAGGAAGTTCGGTCAAACTAAGGAAGAGGTCAGACAGGAGCTTCCTAGGGCTTAGGGCATAAATAGGCTATAAAAGCCTTGTTCTGGTGCTCGAGGATACATTACATAGTTACATACAGCTTTTCCTCGCACTACCAATTACTGTAGAGTGTCAAGGATAACAATGGTTATGAGAGTGAAAAAGGAAATAATCCACGCAGGAGAATCCAGCAAGCTATGTGGAACGCTGCCAGGTACACCATAATTCAAACAACTATTTATGCAGTACCCCACGTCACTGGCGAGCAAATGATAAATTTTCTGGTACCTGCAAATAATACAGGGCTAGTTACCCATTTCAAGACGAATTTGAGTTATCTGCACAGCTAAATGCCGATCCTTCAAATCAATGTCAGTAAATACTTTCCCTACAGGATAGTCAGCACATACCAATAGTTCCGGAGCTGTAGGCATCAATGATCTGGACAACGACGCCGTACGTCGCTCCAACCAAAAAGAAAATACCCAGCAGCACCAGACCGCAATGAAGAAGGAACACGGCCTTGTCCTTCATGGCACCATTCTTGTAGTGCCAGTGGTCGTATAGCCACAGCCAACCCGGGAGGCTCATGGCGAGGGGGGCAAAACACACGGACCAACAAGGGCAATGAGATAGTTAAAGATTGGAATCGCCTCCGCCAGGATGAAGGAAAGGGCACCGAGGATGACAGTGCTTGAAATCCAAGTACCCCAATGGACGACTGTGTTGGCCTGCAAGTGCCGCGAGTTTCCTAGAATGCGTACGAAGACATATTTGGCCGCCACCTTGAGGGTTATCCTTCCGAGTCAGCTTGCTAATAAACCACATGGTTGGTGAAGGGAAATCGTGGGAAAACGTACATGCAGATACAGCGTAGCGCTCACGATCAATCCCACCAACGCAACACCGTAAGACACCATCTTGATCGTTTGTCCTGCACTCTATATGACGTCTGTTAACAACTCCTTCATGGAACGGATGGCGAGTCTGGAAAAGAAAGTGATACATACCCCCAAAGATGGACTCGCCACCCACTTCCCACACCAGCGATAGACAACCAAGCTAAAAGTGAGGTACGAAGCGGTGATAAGAGCCATACAAAAGTATAGCGGCTTCTTGTAATCTTTTGGATTCCGCATCTCCGAGATGACAGGCAGGAAGGCGCTGGTGCCAGCTGAAGACACGAATATTGTACAGGAGGCGACCATGCCGGCCGCGAACCCGGGGTCATTGATTGCCACGAAGCCTAGGTCATCTGTGCCCTCCCGAGGTGCGGCTGCTGGTCGGTCTCGTGTGGTTACCCCGATCACAACGATTAGTACAGCGGCGTAAATAGAAATAAAGCAGCATAGGTGAGCCAGCCCACATGCTCAAGCTTGCGAATAGAGGCGGTCACGATAATGACAACTGTGGCAAGAAATGACCACCAGACAGTGCATGCGGCATGGTGCGAAAGGGCATTCAGCGCGGTCGACACTCCAATAATGCCACTCCCTGTCGCCAAAACATAGGCAATGATAAACAATAGCCCCGTTGCCTCCTTCGCAACTATACCACCGACAACCTCGGCCATGTCAGCGATCGAATGGCAGTAAGGGTGTCTTGTGCGAAAGTTGCCTAGAAGAACGAAACAATAGGTATTGAAGCATCCCCAAGCCACGATACTAATTGAACCTCCTAGGGCTCCCAATGAGTACAGCGCTGATGGTAGTGATAGCACCCCTGTCGCGAAGAGTATCTTAATGAAGATCACACCCGCATTGAACCACCCAACTTGACGGAAGTTGACTCCAGTATCGGTCTTCTTGAAGACCTCTTTTTCCTCGAATACAGACCAATAGGGACTTGTTCGCTCGCCATCGTAGGCCATGCTGGCCTTTCCCTTCTTGTTGTCCAGCATGGGGAGTTTGGTTCGTGAGGGATGGCTTCGCTAGACGGGACGGAGTCTGGGAACTGTGGATGGGCAAGCTGAAAGAACTAAAAGATAAAATAAAGACGGGCCATGTGGAGGAGGTATCAGCCTTGTCCTTATTCTTCTATTTTGTCCTAGTGAACATGAACCATGGTGCAGGGGGGAGATGGGTGATCCTCCTCAACGATCAAGCATGGCCGTTACGCTAGTTCGCCAAAGCTTAACGACCTAGGGTTTTAGGAGCTCACGGCCCACTTAATGACAGCAGCAGACAACGTCACAGCCCGCCGGACTGTCCCACTCAGTGTGTTGCCTAGGAATATATTAGGGTGATAATTTGATATGGTATGATCGTTGATCAGCGATATGCCATCCATTCCTTCTTAGTGCCAAATTAACTTTAATAGTCCAAGCTACAGGAAGTGGGATCCAGTAAGTAGCCCAGAGCCCAGAGCCCAGACTGCATGTAGTGGCATATGTGTGGCAACCGCACAGACATTTCAGTCTTCACCTCTTAGTGGGCTCTTCCATCAACCTAACAGGATCTTCATGTGAAGATGGGGGTTAGCTAGCTAGCGTGCTGTTGTGGCACATTATAATGCCATAGATTATAGAACCCCACCCTGCGGAGCCCAATATAGGATACTTTATTAGATCTACAGGCCGTATTCGCCATCTGGTTGCCTTACTTTACGGGGGTGACGGATAGCTCTAGACTATGAAATTCCAGGAATAACTAATTCGAGTTAAAGCATTAGCAGAATCGGAAGGATAATTCGATAGAACAGCGAAGCCGAAGACAGACAAAAGTATTTTCAAGGGAGCTAAAATTGATTGCCAGGATCCTACGAGTGGATCTCATTGGTAAGATGTGGTGAGTTAAGTCAACAGTCTAATCTATTCAGTTACTAAAAGCCTGCTTTGCCCAGACCATGGAACTACAGAGCCTATTGATCCCACCTTGATTATAGACATCATCCACTGCCCAAGCTAGTTGTCAAAACTTGCTTACCATCTCATTCTCTCTCTGCAAGAAAATAGTCTTCCTTTGGTTGAGGCACATTCTGCTCTAAATTTTACTTGCCTCACTGCAAGGCACCTAATCTAGGGGTTAGGTGATACAAAGCCTTTTTTACCAAAGACCGGCATTACCCGCGAGATACCTCGCGCGGGTCCTAGAACCTACTAAGTAGCGCACTATATAGCCTAAGGTGAGGAGTGTCTTACATTACAATACTCTCCTATCTCTTTCTCATATCACCTCCCCAAGGGGAGGAGGGAACTTATAGCTCATACATCAAGGTTCAGCAGCAAGACAGGCTTGAAAATATCTTCTTAGTGTAATTAGTGTAGTTATCTTGAACTGCTCTGCTCCATGTCTACCCCAGGCGCTATACTCCCATCAAGGCCGAGGCTCGGGATAGCAGCATTGCACAACTTGACCGATTACATTATCTCGGCCATAATGATGACTTCAAAAACATGAGATGCTTAGAACCACATTACTATCTCGTGATGATAATGTATGCAATAGTCTATATCAATATTAGAATGTCCTAAATCTTTCCCTGGTCTTTCCCACTTATCAGAATATCACACTGCAATATCAACACCCAAGCATCAAACAAGATGACAAGCACAACCAACTCACCAGAATCCTATGAAGCCCTTCCTTTCAAGAACATATCTATTTCCCATGTCCCGGAAGCCTCACCCACCGTTACCAAGGTAGTCATCCTAAAATTGAATCGCCCGCGCCAGTTCAACGCCGTGACGGCGGAAATGATCGAAGAGATAATCGCGGCATACCAATACTTCGATGCCGATGATCGCGTCAAAGCAGTAGTTGTAACAGGATCAGGACCAGCATTCTGCGCGGGAGCTGACCTCCGAGTCGGGTTTTCTACACTGACTGATGATCTGAGGAAGGACCCTTCTAAGATCGAGTCCCACAGAGACGGGTTCGTATTCTTAAAACAATCATATATACTTCACATAAAGCATTTCACTAATATAATCAGAGGCGGGCGAGTGGCCCTAGCAATCCACAACTGCTCCAAGCCCACCGTAATGGCCATCAACGGCCCCGCAGCAGGATTTGGGATCACCCTAACACTGACCGCAGCAATCCGAGTAGCCTGCGCAAGCTCCAAAATCAGTTTCGCTTTCTCGCGACGTGGACTAGCAATGGAGGCATGCAGCTCCTTTTTCCTACCGAAGCTGGTGGGAATGTCGCGTGCGCTGCACCTGGTGACGACCGGCGCAACTTATACCGCGTCTGACCCGTTGCTGAGCAACCTCTTCTCGGAGGTATTGCCGACTCCAGAGGAGACCGTTGCATCAGCGCTTAGAATTGCGGGAGAAATTGCCGCGAGCACATCTACAGTGAGTACAAAGGTGATGCGTGATTTGATGTACAGGGCTCCCGGGAGCGCGGAGGAGGCCCATTTGTTAGAATCGAAGGTGTTTCTTGGTATGTTGATGTCCCGAGATAGCGCAGAGGGTATGAAAAGTTTTATGCAGAAGAGGGATCCCGAGTTCAAGGGAACTATGGGTCGTGATGCGCCCGTTGGTTGGCCGTGGTGGGAAACTGTCGACGTTGCTTCGAAGGCTAAGCTGTAGACAGGTAGCATCAGGCTGCTTAGATGTCGCTCGTTCATATGGTATCACATAACCTTCTCAATTGCGCGTGTAGTTACAGTCGAATATCGTTCATTGTGTATGACTTCTATCGCGTTAACAGCTCACATACAGCCCTAGAATACCGCAGAGATAGATGTGTATAAAAGATACCGAATAACGTATTACAATGACAGCACAGTTAAGTCACAGGTACGTAGTTAGTCTCTTATCAGTGTACCATCAATGCGGTTTTGAAGGCTGCCTCGACATCAGTACGTCTGAAACCGGGTGCCCGGCCTAGGATAACAACCCCGCGGAGTAGCGCTGGCAAATGTTAGCACCAACACCTAATAGAATGACATGAAGGACCATCATACTGCTAAGAAACTGTTCAATATTGAACATACGACTCTTAAGACACCCAGAGAAGGTTGCGATATCAGTTTCTAGGCAATGTCAGTGCTCTGGAATTCATCATATCTGCTTTAGCTATACCTTCATGAGAGTGGGAGTCATAGTCATTTATCGTCTGGTAAGCGTGCATATCACCAGCTTGTCCATGGGTTTCAGCTGATTGCGATATTTGACTACTTCGTTGATCATGTACGGAGGGGAAGAGAGAAGACGTATCCAGATCCACCCCTTGTTCTCTTAGGTATCCCTCCACATCTTGGCAATCAAACCATTCACCGCCATATCCGCAAAGTTCTAAGAATTTCTGATGGTCTGGCTCTTGGCCGACCTCTCCCATCCCTCCTAGAGGCTGGAACAGTCCGAGGACTCGCTTAGGGGTCCTCGTATTAGTAGGATATATGGGGTTTCCCAAATTATCTTTCCTGGGATAATGTGTTCCAACACCACCGATTGAATAAAGCGGAAGGATTGGTATTTCCAATGCATCTTTTGCTCCGGCGCTGACGAGCCTCCGAAAGTAAGGATACATCTGCGTCCGGTCTTGTATGCAGGGAACCAATCTGAATACTCTGTAAACCTCAAGCGGGTGGGACCGTGCGTCAGTGAACAGGCGAAAGGCGTACTCCAAACTATAACGCTGGAGCCTCCGGCAGAAGACTTTTTCTTGAAACGAGTATGTGTAATGAGTGTCTTTGCTGTGTAGTCGTGCGATTTGCTGAATTCGTGTGGAACGGCTATTCGATTTATCTTCCAGTTCATCACTGAAAGACACGTGTCGAGGCCTCTTCTTCACAGAGCCTTCTGCAGACTCCTTATGCTTCCTATGTTGATAATCCTTCAAGCAGTCACAATCCATCTTAGGAATATCTTTAAAAGCAGAGGCATTGTGCATAGCGGCATGTTGCGAAACATCCTTATCAGAATCAACACTTGACGGGGTGCTAGTCTGTGACCTTGGCTGTGTAATTGGTTCAGATGTTGACGTCAAAAGATCACTTATGCAGTCGAGGTGTCTAACGAGCGCAGGATAGCTCGATTTTAGCTCGGACGGAAACGCAGCTTTATAGTCAGCGATCGCGGTAGCAACCATATTAAGCCTGTCCTCCAGATCTGCCGCACGTTCCTTGGCCTTTTCAAGGGTAGCTTCTTTTTTGAGTCTGTAAGTTCGTTGAGCGCGTCGGATCTGATCTCGACGATCCTGTATCTGGGTAAGCTTACATTGGCATCATGCGAAGTCCCCCACAATCATACCTCTGATAGAACAGCCCCACCATTGCTAGCATCCAGTCTAGGTCTCCCCGCACTTCTCCGCACATGCAATCGAGATAGCACCTTTGGCATACTGTCTGAGGGGGTATCCTGGTTAGCTTTTTCCGTGGGGGACTCGGGGCTCTGAACTGTGGGCGACGAAATGATCTTCCCGTGTCCCTCGCTAGAAGCTACCATACGGTTAGGCACAGGTCCCGGCTCCACCGAGGCGCCTCGGTCGGCTGAGAGATACTGGCGTGCCGAAAGTACATCTTGTAAGCGAGAGGTCTGGAGAGTTTGGCGCCGGTTCACCATGTTGGTTAGAGGCCGTGCGCTCGGCTAATGAATAAGAATATGATTTCGCTGGTTTAGAGTTTTTAGTTGGCCATTAGGCCCGGTCACCAGGTGGAGTGTAGGGTCGGTTCGGTACGTTAAGTGCAGGAGAAAGTCGGGGATTGAAGGGCCCGTTGCATCGGAAATGAGAAATTCTTATCTGGTTGCGGTGATAATGTAATCTCGATCGCCTCGGCTTCCAACCGGGGCCAACGGTTGGGGCAGATCTTCGCCGTACCCTAACTTTATTGATGAGAATATCTCCACTTGACCCAACAGCATCTCCACCGGCTTTAATCTGATGGCAAATTGTTGTCAAAAGGATTACCAAAACTCTCTCCATTCCTATCCCTCATCTATCCATCTATTTC